TTTTCTTTTCTTTTGTGATTTTGAGCCCAAATTGTTGATTCTAGTTGTGTATCGCAGTGTTCCATGCTTATTTGTGCAAGGGTCTCCTCTATTTTGATTGTATGATATTGATTTATTATGCTACTTGCTTATTATAGATTGTGTAGTTGGGTTTTAAGTTGTTGAAAGTTAGCTTCTTTTTGTTAAAAGTTTTGAAATTTGAGCTCAAGACAAACTCAACCGGATTTCTTTTATTCTGTCAAATTATGGTAAACTCGACATTAAGACAGCAGATCTCAACATGGGTTTTTGTTGATTCTTTTACAAAGATCAACTTCTTGATTTGTATGAACTGGGAAATGCAAGTTCTATTTTCAGTTATCAAGGTTATGATAATAGAAAACTTGACAAAAAATTATCGTCTTTTTTAAGTCACAAAATAGAATTGATAGCTGATCCAACTTGCCTACGTGTGCTAAATTTGAGTTTCTTTTGCTTTGTTGGTGATGAATTTTGTGTTTCAATGCTCTTCTTAATCAAAAACCAAGCAAATTGGTAATAAAGTAACTAACTTGTGAATGAAAGAGGGTTCTCACTTGATTCTGTTGACGCAGCTACTGAAACAAGATATCTAAATGCAAGCAATCGAGAGTTATGTGCTCCTAATGAAGCACAGCTATCTTCTGATAATCCTACAGATAACAAATCTCCATGCCAGTTGCTGCAGTTTGCCTTTCAAGAACTAAAATCAGCAACTGGGAATTTTAGGCCTGATAGCATTCTTGGAGAGGGCGGATTCGGATATGTGTTTAAAGGATGGATAGAGGAGAATGGGACAGCACCAGCAAAACCTGGGTCAGGAATCACAGTCGCCGTAAAGAGTTTAAAGCCAGATGGTCTTCAAGGCCATAGAGAATGGGTGGTTAGTAGAATATCTGCTTTTCTTGGGTTAGTAGATTGATGTCAAAAGAGATTGTTGGGTGGAGGATTAGAAGTAAGAGTGTGACTTTATGACAATTTACCTTATTGCAGGCTGAAGTTGATTTTCTTGGACAGCTTCATCATCCTAATCTTGTCAAGCTTATTGGTTACTGCATTGAGGATGACCAACGGCTTCTTGTTTATGAATTTATGACGCGAGGAAGTCTTGAAAATCATCTTTTTAGAAGTAAGTGTTCAAAATTTTGTTGCCTTTTTCGTTGTTCTCATATTGCTATGGAAGATCACTATTTCTATTTCAGAATCTTCCTACCCATATGGTTATTAGATTTTCTTAGTTTTCCACCTCTTAAACCAGAGGAATTGCTTTCTCTTCTTTGAAATTCAGTTCTCCTTGTTCTTTCTGCCATTTTTCTCTTGTAATTATTGTAGCTAAACTAACTAATAACGTCATGATTTGAATAAACTTGTTGCTTAGAATCAACAGATTTCCATTTTCTTTGTTTTTCTGCTACGATTGTACCTTCTAGGTTTGTTCTAGGATTCTTAGTGATCGAAGGTTCCTTCTGCATCTTTTTGTTTGATTGAGTTTCTTACCCCAGTTTTTATCAGTTCTTTGTTTTGTCATGGAAATTGGAAAAGAAAGCACAAGACAAAGCTGGTCTAAAGTTATCTCCCAGTGAGCTTCACGATTTACCGAATCAGCTGGTAGAGGATGAACTGAAATTGTGGATTAGCTGCTATATTAAATTATTTGGGATTTCTTTGAAACTGATGTTATCAATGCTTTGAAGAATTTCAATGGCTTTTATTTTTATTTTTATCATGCTTGTTCATTTTCTAGTTGTATGAAGCAAATCCTGATGCTGACATGACTTTTGAAGGGACAATACCTCTTCCATGGTCCAACAGGATTAAGATTGCACTTGGGGCAGCAAAAGGATTGGCCTTTCTCCACGGTGGCCCTGAACCAGTTATTTACAGAGATTTTAAGACATCAAACATTTTACTTGACTCGGTATGTGGTGATTCATATCGATGAATGATAGTGTTGAATCATTTTCTTGACTGAAGTCTTAATATGAAAAATTCTTTTATAGGAATATAATGCAAAGCTTTCAGACTTTGGTCTTGCAAAGGCTGGACCTCAAGGGGACAAAACTCATGTTTCTACTAGGGTTGTTGGGACATATGGCTATGCTGCTCCAGAGTATGTGATGACAGGTATGGAAGTTGTAAAATATAGTTTGGCCTAACTCTTGAAATTATCACCTGTTAGTCCTGCATTTCACGAGGAAATCAACTAGAAAACAAGTTTGATTATGCATACATGAGGAATAGTAACCACTAATGAGTAAACTTTTTGTATAAGCATCTACTGTCATGTTAGACCATAAATGAATCATCGAAGTGGGGTTGTAAATGTAGTATCAGATGGTGCATGTTGATCCGACTATAAAGTATGCTGGCATCGATGACTTCTACTAGAAATCCACCAAAACTCCAATTTCATTAGTTTAGCTGCTATGGATGCATGTTTCAAGCCTCAGATTCAGAGTCTGTCCTTGATGGGGATCTAACAAAATTGTACACTTTGGCTCCTTTTCTCCCAGGGCACTTGACATCAAAGAGTGATGTCTACAGCTTCGGAGTTGTGCTACTTGAGATTTTGACAGGCAGAAGATCAATGGACAAGAAGCGACCTAGTGGTGAACAGAATCTTGTTGCATGGGCACGGCCTTATTTAGCTGACAAGAGAAAGATGTACCAACTAGTGGATCCCAGGTTGGAGCTGAATTACTCCCTTAAAGCAGTCCAGAAAGTTTCTCAATTGGCTTACAACTGCCTCAGTAGGGATTCGAAGTCCCGCCCCACAATGGATGAAGTTGTGAAAGTTCTCACTCCATTGCAAGATCTTAACGACCTTGCCATTTTATCTTGTCACTCTCGTTCGTCTCAACAAGGGAAGCGCAAGAAGAAAAGTGAAGGAATGCAGCAGCACATGAATGTATCATCCAAAAGCATCAGAGACTCTCCCTTGAATACTGGCAAGCAGCGTTATAGATAAGGGGCAATCAATTCAATCTCCTTGATTGACTCAAGTATCAAGAAAAACAAAGGTTGGTATTCTGCCTTTGTTTACATCGGCTATTCAGAAGGGAATATTTCAAGCTTGTTTTGTGACATTTGAGTGTTCTAAGATTTGCTGGCGCAAGAAAGACATCTGAAGAAGAAAGGTAAATCAGCTTCTATAAAAACTTACACTAGAGAGCTAACCATCAATTCGAACCTTGCCTGCAACTTGCTGCTGTTGTAATTGAGATATAGCTTGTAATTAGATGAAACCTTCCATTTCTAAGATTGCTATATGCCGTTATCTGAATGTCAATTGCTTTGAGGTTTTGGAGTTGCATTATGACTCCCTCGTGAATATGTCACTATAGTATCTTTCATTGATACAGAATTCATCTCCCAAAACCAAAATTTCAATCCCAGCCAGGTTTAGACCTTGATTCAGTTGAGAATCGCGAAGACCTTTCTATTCATTAACATTCTGCAGCTACTCAATGAAAGTTAAACTGAGGTAGACAGAAATTTGCCGTTCAGCTCCTGCTTAGAGGTTGCACAGAGCATGGTCCCGATTCAAAAGGAGGGGACTTCGAATCATTGCTTAACAATGGGTGCACAAGTGCAGGCTCTGGCTGGGGTCGGCCATAGAACCTTCGCATCTAAGTTATGTGGAAGAGAAGCAACTGATATGTTTGTTAGGGAACGAATCAAATTAAAAAAAAAAAATAGTAGCAAGACAAGTATAATTACACAACATAAATATTTTAGGGGTTCGGCAATGATGTTTATTCTACAGCTGCATTATGATTTATTATTAGGTTTTGTGAAGTGACAGCTACAAATATAAGTGAGATTATCTTTATTTATAGTTTAGACAACTAAAGTTATAAAAAAAGATCTGATCCAATATTTTGTAGACCTTTCAATAGCTTCGAACCCAAGCCTCCTAACGTTGCTCTCTTGACCCCCACTAGGTAACCAGCAAGCAAGATTGTCGTGCTGGGTCTGTATAGCGTTTTATATTGTGAGCCTCCATCTACGTTAGTCTCCGGAATTTAACGATTTTTCCAGCAAAATCAATATTTATGCAATCAACAAAGATACAAACGTGTGTGTGTGTAAGTTGAGCATAACAATCTTTGAAATATGCACTTCAACATCAGTTGTATGCATATCATATTCAAAGTAGAATCTCATTTTGCTTTAACTAGCTCTCCAAATCATTCACAGAAAGGTTACAGTAAAGGTTTCTAATGATATATGCATTTCATCATGTCTGCCTTCACATTAGAATCTTATCTCGCTTTAATTTATAATGCCAATCATTTCTGAAAGGGGTACAGTAAAAATTCTCTTGTTGCATATAAGAATTGCTACATGACTAGTACAGCAGCAACTCCTTTTTAGAATATGCTTTCCATCAGCAAGGTACACTATGATTCTACCTCCAAGTTATCTATCTTTTTTCCTGTACGAGAGCACTAAGGCCCTTTTTAGGGCTCCAACACTTTCTTACTAATAGTGATTTCCCACGCTATAAAAGTAATTATGCAAGACATAAAGTGAATCAAATTGCAACTCAAAACTGATAGAATTTCTGCATTGCTAATGTTCTTATGGAGATTTATATAACATTCTCCAGCATAGAGCATATCCTACAGCACGAAGCACTATAGGATACATCTTAGAGGTGGTTATGCCTTCGAAAAGATGAAAGAAAACCAATCTATGTTTAGCCAGGACATAACAGCAAGCCCTGATAGTCTAGTTTGGATAAAACATTCTTCATAATTATAAGGCTATTTTGCACCCTGTGCTTTCACAAATCCATCATGTGAAAGGGAAAAGAAACGAGTGAAAGACTAGCCGACCTTAGATTGAGAGATTCTAAAATACAGCACTTGAGTTGAGATTGATTTCAAAGCATTGATCTATCTTCATAATTGTCCCTCGAAGTCATGATAACACCAACAAAATAGGGAAAAAAAGAAGAAGTGACATCTTCATAAAGTTCATTCGATGAGCAACTCTACACTTCCGGAGAATCCTGGCAGTCGATCACACATATTTTGGAAAATCTTTTGACATTTTACTTCATCCCACACCTGCCCTCTTCCAATAAAAGTATTCTCCTGCGTAATGACCATCTCCTCAAGGACAATAGCATGTTTCAGCAAATAAATAGCAAACTCAATCTCGTTCGAGGTGCTACAAATTTTAACTTGCTTCAGATGGTTGTAGACATATTCACTAAGCTCGGGAGTTCCTTGTTTCGCATTGTCTGGACAATCGATCTACAATCGCATCGTGCAAATTAGAATTAGCAACAAGGTCAGAATAAGCATAAACCAACAGTCAACTTCGTATGGACTCTGGAAAAGAAAAGGAATCCAACCAAGCACAATTGCATTACTTACAAACAAAGTTTCTGCAGAGAGGGAAAAGGTTTAAGAATAGAAATCATCTTCAAGATGTCAAATTTTTGTCTTCTATTAAAAATGATCCTTAATGTTATAACATTGCTAAAGGTGGTAATACTTTATGGTATGTACTTAACCTGCATAAGGAAACAGAGGCTGTAGTGACAAACCTTGGCATGAAAATTATGAAAAGAAAAATCTACGAGAAGCCTTGCATACCCAGTCAACCTCGGCGCCAACAGATAAAGTTATCAGCATAGCAAAATATTTTGGAAGATGAGTGAAAAGGTATTGTAGTCCTCTCCTATCTATCGCAGTTCGAAGCCTCTTCAAGTTAGAAACTCTCAAAATGGATGGAGAGACATTCAGCATTAGTAGCAACACAGTGCTTGAAAACCAAAAGATTTAGTACATCGGACAGCTTAATTTTCTTCAACCCAACATCGCGGAAGACACGAAAACGCTTTAAAAGAGGTAACGAGCAGAGCTATATTTTTACAGGAAGGGTACAACAGTTCAAGAAAAAATCTTTGAGCTTGATCGAACAAGGCAACATGCTCTACAAATCATAAATGTGTAAGAGCATATAAACCGAAGAAAGGGTTTCCAGGCAGCCAAATTGGTCTGCAAGATTTGGTCCTAAGCAGCAAGCAGCCAAGTGCAGATACTTTAACTGGTTTTTGGTATCTCCAAAAAGCTCGCTCCGAAAGACATACTTTCCTCTCATTTTTGCACCATACATATCGTCAGTAACAAATTTTTACGGATCAAGATAAAGACTCTTATGGTACGACTCGAGAGAGAGCTTTTAACACTCTTTCGGATAGCAAAACTAACCCCATCCATCAATATAATGAGTGTCATCCCACCCAAGCATAATTTTAAATTGCATACATGGTTGAAAAAACGATCACAGTTGTAATCAGTGGTTTACTGCAATAATAAAATAATAATCGCGACTGTTATATAATATTGAATAACGATAACATGATGCTTCGAAATAATTATATAATGACCGTTATTTAAATCTACGCACCCAATCTAGTAAGACACCTCAAAGGAGATTACTTGTGGACCTTGATGAAATTATAGGAACTGATTCACTCCTCTTATAACTTGTCATTGTATTCTCTACCAATACAAATTTCTCCGAACATGTCTAGCCAATTAAAATTAAGACAAGACACATTAGAACAGACATGCTTCCATCTATATGATAATAAACTTGTATAAGGTTGATAATCGAAACAATAATGTCATCTTGCGGCGAGTGATATGATCCATTCTTATTGTTGTGTCGGGGTCCCGATTATAGATTAGATAACCACACAAACTAGTTAATTTGTCTACTTTAGTTAGAATCGAAACCAAAGAATGTATGAAAATTGAAAAGTAGTAAATTTATAGTTAAAATTACATAAAGTTTCCATCTTTGTGTTGAATTACCGGTTACCAAAAATCACAGATTTCACGAAGCATCTAACATGACAATTACTCGTAATCGCATACCTATGTTAGGCGGGAATGCTAGCGACGAGTCATTTTAATGACGATACGTTGGTTGCTAGTCACTTGAGAGAAAAACCAAATTAAATTTATGGTTTCATTAGAAAAAATAAAACAAAAAAATAGAAAAAGTTGTTGGCTATCTTCTTCGAGTCTTCGGTCTCCCCATCTACCACAACTACTTGGCTATTTAGTATTCGAAACTTTTAATCGTAGTTCGTTTCTTTGTTTTATATCAAACGATCATCTCATCTAAAAGTTTAAACTATTAAGTGAGACCCTAAGATATAATTTATGTTATTCTCTAACACATCTTTTTAAATGAAAGCTTTTTGGACTAGTTGTTTGATATGAAGAAGAGTCCTCTTGAAAACTTTGTAGAATCGATCTACACCAACGGACTAGAAGCAAAGAAAAGAGGTGACAAAGCTACCAAATCAAGAGTGAAAGACGGTAGACATTCTTTTCAAGTAATCAATGGGGCACGAGCACTTACGCGAGCATCTCTTGATTTGATGATTTATTGAACCATGGCCGCTTTTACTTTCTTCTCCAATCATGGGCCTTCTATTTTGGCTCAAATCTCTCATCACACTGCCACTTATTATCTATAGCTCCTCCCGAGTGTGTATAAATAGGATTCTATTCTAATGTAAATAGACACACAAGTCAATACAATTCTTTTCTCTTTTATATTTTGTCATGATATCGAATTTTGATGATCAAACGGTCGTAAATTTAAATCTTATCATTTTCACTTTCTCTTCTAATTAATTAAGCGAGAAGATAATATAAGCTTGTACAAGTTTCAAGCTCAAAGAATTTTCACTTGAACGAATGTGTTAGAAAATATTATAAATAATATCCTCGGATCTCATCTAAAGAATGTGATTTATATTATTCTCCGACATTCTATATTGACTTTTATTTGAAATATCTTTATAACAAATATGCAAAGAGGCCTATTCTTACTTGCACGTTTATTAAAGACGTGTATTTGTCTCGAGAACTGCTATTACAATTGGGTTTTGAGAGGCAATATTCATTATTTGAGCAATTGTGTTCTTGGGTTCTTTGAATAAAAGTACAAGGCATAGATTTTGGGTTGAAGTTACTAATACCCATTTAGAGTATTTGTTACTTTTTTATGGATTCAATTGGTATATATATATATATATATATAAAAAACTAATGATGGTTTGGTGAAGGTGAATTTTGGTTATCGGGAGTAGGTGTTTATGGTTCATTTTGAAATTACGAGAACCTAATTGCAAGAAATTGAAGACTTGATTCAATAAGCTACCAATAATCATTTGCTTTCATGTCACCATCAATTTGCTTTTGATACTCGTATTCTAATTCAAGGAGTTATGATAACAAAACAATGTGTTAAGACTTGAGAAAACGGAGATAGCATAGCAACTTCAAAGATTTAGAACAAGAACAAGAGAGTAGACAATTTTGGTCGGCATGAAAAATGTTCATGAAAGAAGCTAAAGTCATCACCGATAAGTAGTGATTTTGATTGGAGATGGAAATTTGTTGTTCAAGAACTATTCTTTTTGTTACTTGTTTTTTCATCGGATGTTTTCTTTCTTTCATTTCTTTTTTCGGACACCAAGGTTTTGATTGGTTTTCGGATAATACTAGTGCAACATGTTCTTATTAATTAAGCCGGTATTGCTAGCGAGTTATCCAAACAATTGCCTCTACTAATGTGTGTACAAATTTTCTACCGATATGTAGCATTTGAATTTTAGAGTTATATTTATTGAGAAAAAAATTAAATTTTATTTTTTCATCTAAATATGATTAGTTATATTTATAATATGATATAAAAATATTTCCCGAAAGCCGAAAAAATAGCTGCTAACATTTCTCAAGTTGAAATATTGTACATTCGATTGGCTTTGTTTTGTTTCGATTTCATGGACTTTCCTTTTATTTGGATGCTCTTGGATTGTTTCGGCACTATAACATAGATTGGATAAAATATATTTGAAAAAATCATTTTAGTTTAATGGTCAAAAAATAAGAAATCTCAATCAAATAAAAAATCTCAACTGAAAAAAAAATCGAAAAATAAAGAATCTAGATGTGAGAAAAATCCTTTCTTTATATAGGGCATGGGCATGGTAGTTTTTACAATGGCTTTGTTTTTTTTTTTTTTTTTTTTTGCCATTCGTTGTTAATTGTATGCTAAATGATGATATGGGATAGTTATGTTGTACGCAAACAAGGAAGAAAATATGATAATATGGTGATGGAATTTCTTTTCACGACTTTCCGAAATTAAATAGAAGAAGAAAAACAAGAAAGTTTCTTTTTCTTTTAATTACTTTTTTAGTAGATAAAAAAGGAAAAGAAATATCGCCAGTTTTCCTAAAAAAATGGATTTAGAATTTTAGGAGTAAATTATAAATTAGTCTCCCTCGCGTTGATAAACAAATTAATTAGTTCCTTTAGTTTTAAAAACTAATTATTTAATTATTTTTAAATTTATATTGATTTTTTGCTTTAAGAAATAAAAAATAAGTAAAAATAAAGAAAGATTGATGAGAAAAAAAGATATTTTATAAATTAAAAAATATTAAATTAGTCATGATTAACCTTGATTAAAAGGACTAAACAATAGTTTTTAAAGCCAAAGAAACCAATTAATTCATTTTTCAAAATGAGAAGAACTAATTTATAATTTTCTCAATAGTTCACGGTCGTTAGTCTTTATAATTAACAAACAAAACAACATGTTGCTTCAAAATAAGCAACCAAATGAAAACCACAAGTTTAAACAAACTCAATCTTTGGATAATTTCTATATAATTATCTTGAATAAATTATATTTAATGATAATCTTCTATGTTCTATAATTTTTAATTTTTCTCTAATTTTCTTTTACATTAAGAACTTTAAAGGTTGTGCATTATCTTCATCACCATCTTCGTCAATTGTAATTATTGTTTCTTTCTTTTTCTTTTTTTGGTATTTATTTTTTCGCTCAATCTTATACATATATCCAAAACTCGTAACAAAAATTTTGGAGACATAATGTAAGATAAAGAACCAAGGTCTTATCAACGGTTTAAATATGTGCTATGATATTACCACTCGATACCTTTGTCACAATGAAAATATGAAACTCTTGTTTGATTTTCGAACATCGAGGACATGGTTAGTTCCTATCTGTTAGAATTTGAAATCGTAACTTTTTGTTCAATAGATCATTATTATTAGGCTACAAGCTCTTTGAACTCGATCCGTATTATTGTTTTCATTTGTCTTGCCAAAAAACATATATAATTCTTTTCTTAACTTAAAGGCAATCTCGTACAAAATTCATCATTTGAGCATATTATCCTCTTCTTTCTCAACCTCGTTACCTTTTATGCCAAGATTTTCCCCATCTCGATTCCGGTTTGGTGTGAAACTAGTTTTTCTACCCGCGCTATGCCGCGGGTCGGATAAAACACAAAACTATTTTTAAAAAATTATTTTAATTTTGATGTCTCATGTTATACTATACATCTATCAAAATATGTTAAATAAAAAGAAAATAAAAATTCATTTAATTTTTTAATCAAAATTTTATATTTAACTGGTTATTGTTTATATTTTTCATAATTAAAAATTTATTTATTTATTAATTTTTTTTGTTGGTTAAGCTTTACGGTGCATGACACGGACATTGGCCTAAATGGCTCTTCCGAGAAACCTTTTCTTTATATGCTTTTTGACTTCCCGTTATGTTTAAAACTCATGTTCCAAAAAATAGTGTTAGACTTTGGTTAGATAATTGATAAAGCTATGTTATGGAATTTGTCTCCCCTCTCGGCAATTTATGTGCTGAAATATTTGTAATAGGTCCCGGATGCTTTCTCAACACTCGTTTATGTGGTTGCAAAACATCAAATGAGTGATACGCAAAGGAAATTAAGATTTTTGCTTGGGAAACCTATTTTACGGATGTTAATTGGTATTTAAATCTCCCGAGTTCCTTTTATGTGCAACGATACACATGGCTTGTATAATACATTTAACAATAAAATTAAGTTAGCCAAACGATCAATCATCAATCACTAAAACTCATAATTCCTTTTGAATGAAACATATCGGCATTTCGTAAATCCGCAACTCTGTTATCCTCTCAATAAAGATCCTGCATTTTGGGCACCTCCTCTAGTTCTTGTTCTTGGCTAGATTCATCAATAGTATACCATCCCTTTCTCTCTCATCCTTATGCGGCCTCTTAAACTCTTCGCAGTCGATGCCGTGAATGCCAAGGAACCTTACACTAGGCACGGAACATTCTTCTATAATTAGGACACTCGGATTCCCTTATAACCTCTTCTCCCTCATCAATTAACATTGCAGAACAATCCTTAGAAGGACAATAAAACTTATGAGACCCAAGAATCAAAGCCTCGCACAAAGCATTACCCCATCTATCGAACATATCTTCTTGTCATATTGAACGGTAACTCTCGGGCTCTAATATGGCTTTACAATCCGGCACGGGGCAACAAATTTTACTTATGTTTTCTTGCAACTTGGAGACCACATACTTGATCATACGATCGATACAGTAAGCGTGAGTACAACCCTTGATCAAAAATAACTTCTTTAAAGTCATGGGTTTAACATGGATTTCACAAACAAAATGCGAGTCAATTTGAGAATTTGAAGATTGACCATTTTCGATGATTGAATCTCCAAAAGTGGGTTCTTTTTGTTTGCTAGGAGTGAATTGAGGCATAAAATCAAGTACCTTTATATCATCATCAATTTCATCATAGTAGTAGAAATACTCTTGAGAGAGATCAACGAATTTGCTAGTTTGTTGGAGTTAAGAACAACCATGATAGCGCTTATTGAGCTCTCTATCTTCACTGTACTCTTCAACATTTTGTTGCCTTTCTTCCGAAAGAAAGTGACTGTTATGCTAACTTCGGGGAATGGATGCGGAGTCAAATCCATGTGAGAAACTGGATTCTATGCTCGCAACAACTAATAGTATGGCTAGGTCAAGTTTATCAAACATGATCAAAGGTATATTAGCAAAAAAGTCGAGTTCTCAAGCTGAATAAATCATCACCTCATCATCAATTAATCTCAAACCAATTTCACACTATATACACACCTTCTCTATGCTATCAACATCAATTTGTGACTTCAAGTTGCAAATTTATATAGCTGTATTACTATGTAACTATAGAAGGAAAAGAAAAGAAAAAGTAGCGACCTCAATCGGGTGGTGTCGAAAGAAAAAGCCACAAAGAGAACAAAACCTTGGGAAGTTGAGGATTTTCTTTAAGCACAAAAGAAGAAACTTCCGATAGCTATAATAAATCATGCATCCATACAAAAAGAAACTAAGAAATCGAGTTAAAATATCAACATTTACATTGGTTTCCTTACGGATGACGAAGTAGAACTTATAGCATCATCATCTAGGTCATCCTCATTCTCGGGGATCCGAAGTGGATGAAAGAACGTGAAGAAAGTTTCACAATCCTCAATTTTTATGACGAGGTTTGGTATTCTTTGACCCCATTCTTGGTTTCTTCTTCACAACCTTATTTGTCAAGCATTTTTCAAGAAACAAAATTATACCTACAAACATTTTTCAATAAAAAAAATTATATCCACAAACGGAATTATCACGGATAAAAAAGATGAAACAAATGAAGAAAAATGCTACCATCCGAAAAACCTCAAGAAACTCATAGGTGACTAATAAAAAAATGTACCTCTTTTATATTTAGGTCGGGACATAATCTTCACCAACCAAACAAGCCGAAAGAAAGAGATGTAATGTTATTCTCTCTCTATAACTTCTTGCTCCTCGGGAACAATTTGAGGCTTTTTCCTCAACATCCGTCAAAGTCTCTTTCGGTTCGGTTCATCAACTAATGACTCACTTCTAACGACATCCAATCAAGGTTGGAATCTCCTCACCTGTAAGAAAAAAAAATAGAGAGAGATAGTTAATAAGACCAAAACCGATTCATTTTCTTAAATTCTTGATCTATTAAAAAAAAAATAGGTAAAGACAGGTAGCTAAGATAATTATTCCTATCATCAGTTCTAACACTAAGTAAAGAGTATATTGGAATCATACAATTCAAAGCACATAATCCGATAATCAAGATACTGCAAGTTTTATATAACATCAAAGCAATTGTACTTGATCAACAAGAAGAGTAACATTTGAACCAACTACAAATGCCATAACCGTGAATTTATCTAGATTCTCAACTACTATATCCAATGTCCGCAAGATACACAAATGAAAGAACATGTTTACACGAGTTTTTTTTTAATTTGAATACATAAAAGAAAATATTAAAAAGAGAAGAAAAAAGGCAAAATCTAAGGAAAAAACAAAGACAATGCACATTATTGAATGATAATTATTTTTGGTTAAGCAATTGACCCAATAAAAGTAAGGATACCCAACTCTAACAAAGACTATAATTATCCAAATTTAAATTATCATAGAGTGAAAACTAAGAGTGACCCCTCCTCGCTTTTTTTAAAGAAAACGTTATCAAGCGAGAACACATGTCGGATAAGCCTCTTATCCTATGAGCTTTTTGCCTCATTGGCTCACTCTCTTTCAAAATATTCAAAAACCAATAGCCAATTAAGTAGAACATTGAGTTTTGTTGATGGCCAAATTATATAATTACCGAATTCCAATGGAACCAGCGAGATCCAACAATTGATAGAGGCTTAGGATAATCCTAAGTCTTGTGTCCAAGTTCTTGAACGACTCTTCCTGGCAGTTGGAGGTGGGCGATTCTAAACAGAACACCGAAGTCTTCTCCCTCCACGGTCCTTCCTTTTTAAATTAAGCCCACTTGTATTCAACACAACCAAAGTTTCGAATTCTTACTTTCAACCACAAAAACAATGAAATTCAAATCAAAGTCTTGAAAAAAGAATTCGTTCTTACATCGAAAAGTCACTAAAAAGTCATTTTTATACATAAAAGCAAAAAATTCCTAATTGTTTCAAATGTTTGACCTTTCTATGACTCCCAAAAGCAAAATTATTTGTTTTGTTTTGAAAAAAACAAAAAAACCCGAAAGCAAAGCAAAAAAAGAAAAAAAGAAAAAAAGGAGTTGAAAAGAAAACCACTAGAAGCCTAGGCGAGGTTGTTGGATTTAGTAGAATCCACGAAATAGATAGTCTTGATTTCAGTTGGAGATAAAAAAATAAGTGCCATCTTACGGTAGCTAGTTAACCGAGTGGATGAATAATCCTCAAACCTTCTTCCATTTGTAATTCATTAATCCCTTCAATGTTATTCTCAATCCCACTTTATAACAATTTTCCCGAATAGCAAAATTGAAAATGAAGTACTTGGATAATGATGACTATGATAAATATTACCCATTAAACCGAGAGGATGCATGCTCTCCTTGTGGATCAAACCACGCCATTCATCAATAATTTCTTTCGCTTCTCTGTACACAATCACCAAGTCCACAAAGAAAAACATATCAACTACCAAAAAAAGACAATGTAAGAAGCATAATGGGACGCGAGATGCATGAAAAGAAAAAAAAAGAAAAAGAAAAGCAAACAAGGAAAAACTTTTCTTGGCAAAGTTGGAAGTGATTCGATTTTGAACAAAGCATCGAATTCCTCTCCCTCTATGTTCCTTCCTCTTCAAATCAAACCCACCTGCATTAAGCACCACCAAGTACCAAAGTAACTTTTTCATTTCTACCATAAAAATAATGAAATTTAAATCAAAGTCTTTAACAAAATTATTCGTTGTTAAACTCTCACCTTTTCTATGACACCCAAAGCCAAATTATATATATATGGCTCTTTTCTCTTCTTCTTTTCTATTATCGGCAAAAGCTTGATCATTCATCATTTCGAGCTTAAAAATAAGCCTTTTCTATATATATATATATATATATATATCACATGAGATCAATTTTCTTACTTCCAACCTACCATAGACATCCATCTTCTTTCTCTCCATCTCCTCATCATTTCTCTCCTCTCTTTACCACGAACTCCATCTTAATTTTTTAAGAGAGAGAAGCAATGTCACCTCGGAGCTTTGCAAGGAGTTCGGGTTTCGGTTTGGGAGGGACGAAGGTGAAAGTGATGCTTGTGGAACGGAGGAGTTTGTTGAGGAAGGAGAATGAGGGTTCTTTGAAGATGATGAGGTCTCGGTGGTGGAGATGGTTAGAGCGAGTGCGGCTGCAATTTTAGAAAAAGAGATAAAAGAATTCTAGGTTTTGATGGGTATATTTATTTTAGAGATAAGATTGAAAACTTGGGAAGCACAATCTAATGGTGGAGAAGAGATGAGAAAAAAAATAAACGGCAAAGAAGCGACGAAGGCAAGATGAATAGGGAAAGGAACGGAGACTTTGAGTGAGTATCCGCGGTAAAATATCTCTATAGCTACGAGTGTTTCAAATAGTAAACAAACAGGTAACACCTCGTTTTACTTTAGTTTTTTTGTTAATGAGAGAGTTTCTAGCATAAGAGAGAAAGAAACGAATCCCACATCGGAAACAAAGAAAGCATATTGATGTTTTATATATTCCATGCTTACGGTCGCTCAATTGCCGAGCTTGGTAACACGAGCTTGTGACCCATGTGGGGGTTCCGAAGTGAAGGAATGTTACCACGGCCCGCAGAGCCGGGTTCGGTTTGGCTAGTTTCGGCCCGCCCGTTCCAAGCCGGGAGTGGAGTCTTGGCTTCCTAGTGAAAACGTGGGTGTCATGGTTCCTACAACGGAGGGTACGGCGTAAGGCTGGTTTCACGGAGCGAGCGACAACCTCCCTCTCTTGGCGAGTGGAAGGATAACGGGTCGGTGCCATCCGGATCCATATGGCTTGATCGGTTGGTCTAATTAGACCATCACTTTTTGGTTTTTAATTTCCATTCTCTTAAAAAAAAATTGTATATTTTTATTTATCATAAATCTTATATTTAATCACCAAAAATCTTTTGTTTTTAGAAATAATTTTAAACTCTTATTATATTGGGTGAACAGGTTTGGTTAAAATCATGATATTTACTTATATAGATTTCTTATTCATAATAATAGGCAACATTTATAGAAATAATATTGAAATTATACTAAAATTAGTTTTGTTTTCATTGTCATTAGTATCAACTATATCATACAATCTTGATAACTTAAAAAATTTAAATTGTGTCAAAAAAGTTATATGACACTCGCTTTGTAGAAAAAATAATAATATTATTTCTAACAAAACGTGAACAATGAAAAAAAACTTTTAACTAATTCAACCTTTTAATATTATTCTTTTCTAAATTTTAAATTAAAAAAAATAACAATTAAATATTTTTTTTTTGTATAATTCAACATTTGATTACGTTGAAGGATGACCTAACTTGAGTAATTAATTGTGACTATAACAAACCTTTTATGAATTAAATATAATTTTTTGCATGTACAATAAAAAAATAAAAAAATCTAATAAATAGCGATATGAATAAGACTTTGTAATCTTCGGAGAAGTCTTAAAGATAAGTAATTTAATTAAAAGCTTAGCATCTCTAAAAAAATAATGCACCACTTATTAACCCAATCACATTCAATTTAATTTGTGATATTCATCACCTAATCAAAGAAAAGTTGTGAAAATTCAAGTCCTATATTTGTTAAATACTTCTTAAGGTTGAACCATTTATTTTTATTTTATATTTAATTTCCAATGCTTCTATGAATATTTTAAAGTAACAAAAAAATAATATTTGTTTTTGTTGAATATTGAGTTATAAAGCTTATAGTTTTGAAATATAGTTGAATAAAATTTAAAGTATTTAAGAGTATATGAATATCACGAACCATTGAATTTGATTATTAATTACTACAGTTCACCGTTATATATAATGCTGCTAGAGCTTTTAAGTACCACTTGATTTCTTGATTACTCAAGATTAGGGAATTAGCAAGTAGTAGTTTAATTCGGTTTGTTTATTTATTTATTTTTTTAAAACGAGCTAAATCAAAATTTTGAAAAGCCGTAAACTGAAATATATTTATTGTTATAATTTTTTTTAATGAAATTTTCTAATTATTTTTTGAAAATAAAAATTAAATTGAGAAAAAAAATTAAGAATTTTGGTTTGGTTAGATTTTGTTCATCCCTAATCATGAAGTATGAAGTACCATTTCCCCGGTTATAAGCAACAAAGCATGGTAATTAACCAAAATTAATTCGTTTCTTAAAACAAGAAAAACTAATTTATAATTTACTCAATATTTTAGATACGTTAGTTTCTGTTTCATTTACAAACAAAACAACATGTTGCTTCAAAATAAGCAACTAAATGAAAACCATAGGTTGAAACAAATTTAATCTTTGGATAATTTTTATATAATTATCTTGAATAAATTATATTTAATGAAAATCTACTATGTTCTATAATTTTTATTTTTTTCTCTGATATTTTTTTTACATTAAAAGCTTCAAAGGTTGTGTATTATTTTCATCACCATCTTCGTAAGTTATAATAATTGTTTCTTTCTCATTTTTTATATTTATTTTCTTTTTTTCTCAGTCTGTCTTATTGTTTTCATTTGTCTTGCCAAAAAAATATATATTTCTTTCTTAACTTAGAGGCAATCGTCTAAAAAATATATTTCTTACCTTTTATGCCAAGATTTTCCCCATCTGAATTCTGGTTTTGGTGCGAAATGAGAGAGTTTCAAGAATAGGAGAGAAAAAATTAAATCCCACATCGGAAAAAAAGAAAAAATATTGACGTTAATATATCTCATGCTTGCGCCTGCGTAACGGCTGAGCTTGGTAACGCGAGCTTGTGACCCATGTAGGGGCTTTAAAACGATGGAATGTTGCCTCAGCCCAGAAGGTCGGGTTTGGATTGGCTAGTTCCTGGCCCGCCCGTTCCAACTCAGGAGTTGAGCCTTGGCATCTTGGTGAAGACTTTGGCCTCATGGCTCCTAGAGCGGAGGGCACAGCGCGAGGCTGGTTTCACAGAGCAGCGACTACCTCCCTCTCTTGGCAGTGGAAGGATAACGGGTTGGTGTCATCCGGATCCATTTAGCTTAATGGCTAGTCTAATTAGACCATCACTTTTTTGGTTTTTAATATCCATTCTCTTGAAAAAAGAAGGTACTTTTGAATTTATCATAAATCTTATATTTAATCACCAAAAATATTTTCTTTTTAGAAATAATTTTAAAATATTATTATTATATACGGTGAATAGGTTTGGTTAAAATCATGATATTTAGTTATATAGATTTTTTATTGATAAGAATAAGCAATATTTATAGAAATAATATCAAAATTATACTAAAAGTAGTTTTGTTTTCATTGTCATTAGTATAAACTCTATATCATACAATCTTGATAACTTAAAAACATTAAATTTTGTGTCAAAAAATTTATATTACACTCACTTTGTAGAAAAAAAATATTATTGCTAAATAAATGTGAACAGCGAAATTTTTTTTAACTAATTCAGCCTTTTATTATTATTTTTTTCTAAATTTTAAATTAAAAAAATAATAACAATTAAATTTTTTTTTTTTGTTATAATTCAACATTTGATTACGTTGAAGGATGACCTGACTTGAGTAATTAATTGTGACTATAACAAACCATTTATGAATTATATATATATACACACATTTTTTTTTCATATACAATAAAAATAAAAATTAAATTAAATTAAAATCTAATGAATAGCGATATGAATAAAACTTTGTAATCTTAAAGTAACAAAAAAAATAATATTTGTTTTTGTTGAATATTGAGTTATAAAGCTATTTAGTTGTATAGATTTTTTATTGATAAGAATAGGCAATATTTATAGAAATAATATCAAAATTATACTAAAAGTATTTTTGTTTCCATTGTCATTAGCATAAACTCTATATCATACAATCTTGATAACTTAAAAACATTAAATTTTGTGACAAAAAAGTTATATTACACTCACTTTGTAGAAAAAATAAATAATATTATTGCTAAATAAATGTGAACAGCGAATTTTTTTTTCAAATAATTCAACCTTTTAATATAATTTTTTCTAAATTTTAAATTAAAAAATAATAACAATTAAATATTTTTTTTGTTAAAATTCAACATTTGATTATGTTGAAGGATGACCTAACTTGAGTAAATAATTGTGACTATAACAAACCTTTTATGAATTATATATATACACACACACACATTTGTTTGCATATATAATAAAAATAAAAATTAAATTAAATTAAAATCTAATGAATAGCTATATGAATAAGACTTTGTAATCTTAAAGTAACAAAAAAAAATAATATTTGTTTTTATTGAATATTGAGTTATAAAGCTTATAGTTTTGAAATATATTTGAATAAAATTTAAAGTACTTGGGAGATATATGAATATCACGAACCATTGAATTGGATTATTAATTGCTACAATTCACCGTTATGTATAATGCTAGAGCTTTTAAGTACCACTTGATTTCCTGATTACTCAAGATTAGGGAATTAGCAAATAGTAGTTTAATTCGGTTTGTTTGGTTTTTTTTTTTTTTTAACGAGCTGAATCAAATTTTTGAAAAGCCATAAACTGAAATATTTGATTGTTATCAATTTTTTTAATGAAAATTTTTAATTATTTTTTTAAAATAAAAATTAAAGTAAGCAGGAAAAAAATTAAGAATTTTGGTTTGGTTCGATTTTGTTCATCCCTAGTCATGAAGTATCAAGTACCATTTTTCTGGTTATAACCAACAAAGCATGATAATTAACCAATTAATTCGTTTGAAAAGAGAAAGACTAGTTTATAATTTACTCAATATTTTAGGGATACCAGTCTCTGTCTCATTTACAAACAAAACAACATAAACAACTAAATGAAAACCATAAGTTGAAACAAATTCAATCCTTGGATAATTTCTATCTAATTATATTGAATAAATTATATTTAACGAAAATCTACTATGTTCTATATTTTTTATTTTTTCTCTAATATTTTTTTTACATTAAGAACTTCAAAGATGGTGTATTATCTTAATCATCATCTTTGTCAGTTGTAATAATTGTTTCTTTCTCATTTTTTTATACTTATTTTTTTTAGCTCAGTCTCTCTTATTGTTTTCATTTGTCTTGCTAAAAAAATTTTCTTTTCTTAACTTAGAGGCAACTTGTAAAAAAATATATATTTCTTACCTTTCATGCCAAGATTTTCCCCATCTCAAGAATAAGGGAGGAAAAAAAAAAAAACAAATCCCACATCGGAAAAACATAAAGCATAGCGAGATTTGATATATCTCATGCTCACACTTGCTCGACAGCTGAGCTTGGTAACGCTGGCTTGTAACCTAAGTGGGAGCTTCGAAGTGATGGGATGTTGCCTCAGCCCAGAGAGCTGGGCCTGGTTTGGCTAAATTCTGGCCTGCCCGTTCCAAGCCAGGAGTTGAGCCTTGGCATCTGAGTGAAGACTTGGGTGTCACGGTTCCTAGAGTGGAGGGCACAGCGTGAGGCTGGTTTAACAGAGCAGCGACTACCTCTCTCTCTTGGCAGTGGAAGGATAACGGGCCAGTGCCATTAAGATCCGTTTGGCTCAATGGGCAGGTCTAATTAGACCATCACTTTTTTGGTTTTTAATATCCATTCTCTTAAAAAACGAAGAAGGTATTTTTGAATTTATCATAAATATTATATTTAATCACCAAAAATATTTTCTTTTTAGAAATAATTTTAAAATATTATTATTATATTTGGTGAATAGGTTTGGTTGAAATCATGATATTTAGTTATATAGATTTTTTATTCATAATAATAGGCAATATGTATAGAAATAATATCAAAATTATACTAAAAGTAGTTTTGTTTTCATTGTCATTAGTATAAACTCTATATCATACAATCTTGATAACTTAAAAACATTAAATTTTGTGTCAAAAAAGTTATATTACACTCGCTTTGTAGAAAAAAAAATAATATTATTGCTAAATAAATGTGAACAGCGAATTTTTTTTAACTAATTCAACCTTTTAATATTATTTTTTCTAAATTTTAAATTAAAAAATAATAACAATTAAACATTTTTTTGTTATAATTCAACATTTGATTACGTTGGAGGATGACCTAAGTTGAGTAATTAATTGTGACTATAACAAACCTTTTATGAATTTAAATATATATTTTTTCATATACAATAAAAATAAAAATTAAATTAAATTAAAATCTAATAAATAGCGATATGAATAAGACTTTGTAATCTTCGGAGAAGTCTTAAAGATAAGTAATTTAATTAAAAGCTTAGCATCTCTAAAAAAAAAATAATGCACCACGTATTAACCCAATCATATTCAATTTAATCTGTGATCTTCATCACTTAATTAAAAAAAAGTTCTGAAAATTCAACTCCTATATTTGTTAAATACTTTTAAGGTTGAACCATTTATTTTTATTTTATATTTAATTTCCAAAGCTTCTATAAATATTTTAAAGTAACAAAAAAAATATATTTGTTTTTGTTGAATATTGAGTTTATATAAAGCTTATAGTTTTGAAATATAGTTGAATAAAATTTGAAGTACTTCGAAGTATATGAATATTATGAACCATTGAATTGGATTATTAATCACTAAAATTAATTAATATTTTCTACGTACGTACTATTGCTCTTATCCTTTGCACAACTGATTCCAGTTCCACAAGTACATTAGTTCACCATTATATATACATGTATAATGCTGCTAGAGCTTTTAAGTACCACTTGATTTCCTGATTACTCATGATTAGGTAATGAACAAACAATAGTTTGATTCGGATTTTTTTCTTTTTTTTTGTGATTAAAAAAAAAACGAGTTGAATCAAATTTTTGAAAAGCCAAATTACATAAACTGAAATATTTTGATTCGGTTGTTCGGTTATCAAATTTTTTGAATAAAAATTTCTAATTTTTAATTATTTTTTAAAATAAGAATTAAATTTAAAAAATAATAAAAATTTCGGTTTAGTTCGGTTTGTTCATTCCTACTCATGAGGTATAAATACTATTTCTCTGGTTATAAGCAACAAAGTACGGTAATTAACCCTAAGTTTGGGTTTTTTTTTTTTTTTTTTTTTCATCTCCTAACTAATTTGTAAGTCAATTGAGATTAAATCATATTCTTAAGAAATTTTAATGGCATTATTCCCACGTTAGGAGGAATCTACTGAATTGGAACTCATGAAATCAAGAGAGGACAAACGTCCTTGACCACCTCTCTCCCTCATGGGGTTACAAGATAGAAACGTCGGGACCTTATTAATTACCAAAGGATCAAAGAAATATGTGAGAATATAGGGTTGAATCCAAGGAAGATGTAGGTGATGAATTATACCACTTTTTTTTTTAAATGACATGATAAAGAGTATGTGCTGATGAATCTAGGTCGTTCCATGCATAGTTCATTCTAGAAATCGACCTGCATTAATTTGTACCAAGCCGGAAAGAGACTAACACCAAAGATAATGGCCGTTGAAAAATAAAGGTATAGGTAGCTAGGAAGGACCCAAAAAAAGGTGAAAATTTATAGTAGTAGCTACAAGGGAGGGAAAGAAATGTAATAGTGATCACTTATTAACAATAGTAGTGTGCCGACAGAAACCAAATAATGCAACTCATTGTAGAAGCTTCATTGGTGTCCAGCAAAGCGTTTATTTTGAAATCAGTCATCTTTTTCCCATTACTTCAGGTTCAAGGATTTCTTTTTCTTTTTTTCTTCTGCAATAAATGCATCCTTTATAAAAGTTTACACAGATATGTCAAAGCAATTCTATGATAAAATAGCTAGATAAATCATTACAGATTTACAAGATTTAGTATATCCTGTTGCATTATTTCACATTGTGAAAGAAATATGATTGGAGAAGAAATTTAATGTTTGATTATGAACGTGAGAAAAAAACCTCACTCTTTGAGACTTAATAGCCCCGAGCGCATACATATCCATGCCCAAGAATCATGAGATCATAATATATTATTTATTTATTTTTATTTACAGATGTACATGAAATAGTTCCAGCTATTTCAATTTCCACAATAACATTCTGTTAGTTAAAGTACTGAAAAGAAGGAAGGAAGGATACTATGGCTAGTCTAGAAATTTAATTTAATGGGGGGATTAAGGACTCACCTATGAGTCTATAACCTATCTATTCTTCAATTAAGTAATTAAAGCAAGTTTGTGCGATGATCATATCGACTTTCAAGGACTACTAATAGATGTTAAACAAAGAACTCATTGTTGTATATATCTAAGCTTAGTGCTAAAATATTAAAGCAACAAATCCCTTAAAACATGGATAGATATCTCCAAATTAATGTTATCTTCGAACATCTCTCCTGTGATTTGATGGAGAATTGTCTACATGTATATATGCTTCCTTGTAAGTTTACTATCTGTCTATGTCAAAAACTTATACAAGAAACTTCATATATTTTTCTGCGGGGTGGAGGGATGAAATAGGTGCTCACCTTGCTTTGTAGGTAGGATATGGTGTTGAAATAATGAATAAAATCCCATCCCTCTCTTACATATTCTATTTTTCAATCTTCTAGTTTGAAATAATTGGAGTATTGGACCTAATAATCCCTTCTTCCTATCTTCCATCCTCCAACTAAATATAATTAAAAAGTTAAATTCAAGAAGAACCCTAATAACTTTTAATCTATTGAGACTAAAGAGAGAGAAATGGAGTTGCATACCTTTGTCTAGCTCCTGATGCAACCTCTCTTGGAACCGCTGCATGCTGAAGAAAAAGAGAAAGATGGACAATATATATCTTCCACGATATGTAAGCAAAGAGTTTGTCTATACAGGAAACTGTACTAAATGCATCAATGTAACGATAAGATCACTAGACGTGCCAGAGAAAAAACAAATTGAGAAAAACACCGGCAGAAGAGACCTCGAGGTGAAAGCTGGGAAAAAGCAAAGAACCCTGAAAAAGTGATATTGGCGCGGCTCAATCTGAGATCGTATTTTACAATTACTTTCACATGTGTAAATCCGTCTTCGGATTGAACCTCACCAACATCGCTTTCTTTTTCTTCCTTAGCATCCAGCAAATACTACTGTGTCTCTTCTTATAAGAAAAGGCAAAACGATCATGCAAGCAGAAACATATCATGATTGTTAATATACGAAATGGGAACAGGTTTTAGCTTTTAAAACTGGCTACCTAGCTGCCGCAGCCTAATTGGTACCACTTACCAACCAAAAGGGACGAGGTGTGTACTTGAATACAGAAAGAGTAGATATGGTCCAATACTATATTCCTTGTCAAAGGACAATATAATATGATCATCTAGCTAGGGTATCTAGATTTTTTGGTATGGAAAAGGATGGTGGCTTGGTGGAGTAAGAGGTGGAGGTGGTGGTCTTGTTGGTGGTTATAGTCATCAAGTGGGATCTTGAAATCATGATCATTTATCTAAATTCCTTGAACTCAGTCAATTAACATCAAGACTGTTCTCAAACGCCAAAAATATCCAAGACTTTTAAAGGCATAAATAATTAATATATTCCCAAATATTTATCAAACTCGAGTATATATATGTGTGAAAACATATCGATTAAAGCAAACCCTGTCATTCAATTATAATTTAAGTGGGATCTAAAAACACATCCTTATACCACATGAAAAGAATAAAACAATAAATCAAAAGCAAAAAGGGGAAGGAAAGAAAAAAAAAAAAAACTAGAACTCATTGTTGCACCCAGAAAAGAAAATTAAAGAGTTGAACATATGTTAATAGAGAAGTGGCAGTCTAACTTGATTGACATCAAGAAACAAAAGCTGGCTACTAGATAGGCATGGATCAGACAAGATATGGATGCTGAAATAATGAACTCAACTAGGGTTCAAATATAAATTGAAGAAGAAGAGAAATAAACTTATGATCTATTTTGATTATATATAGAGAGAAAGGAAAAACTTGTCTAAAACTAGGGTGATCATGGCCATATATAAGGGATTTGGAGACATATAGAGATAAAGAGAAAGAGAGGAATGGAGTGAGGAGGCAAGGGGTGGAGAGGCAGAGAATGTATACTGGTAGGTTTTGCCTCGGGATGAGAAGGTGAAGAAGGTGAGTGGAATGATGTCAAGGGGAGCAACTTACTTTTAGGGTTTGTCATGCTTAGTTTGTACTCAATAAAATCTAACGCATGCCACCTGAAATATTCCTCTCTACCAAAAAACCCAAACAACTCCTTTTGATTGTACCTTTGTTTTAAGAATATATATATTAATTATTTTAATCCCCACCTTTTTAAATCATGCTTTGCATTCCATTTAATTAAATTAATTAAACTTATAGTATTATATGCTAAAAAGGAGAATAAGATACTTGGCTTATATGTATTTATAGTATAAACAAATCCTTCATATGGGAAACAATTAGTACATTCTAATGGCTATACGTACCTCATTGAAATATCTTAATAACGAATTGAACCCACATTTTTCTAGAGTTCATTTTCTCTTATCATGATTTTTCTAGCTTTTTATTTCCCTTTTTTTATGATTTAACTTTGATTTAACTTTTAAACACATCGATTATCTCTCTTATTATAGGGTAAGGGATGGCTAACTAATGACAAGACTTTTACATGGACCGAGTAGGTGAGGGATGGCTATCCACTTGGTCTGCAAATGGGCACTTGGTAGTGCACAAAATAAGTAGGTAGCCATAAAGAATTCTTACGTAGAAACTAAAGGTGGTCAAAGCCAAGCCAAAGCCATATCAGTGCAAGAAAGAGAGAGGGAGAGGAATCTTGGAAACATGAGTGCAGAATGTCAGCGAAGAGATTGTCTACTAGAAAGAAGTTTCCTTTGGAAGGGTACGTACAAAGTTTGATCTTAATCTTCTTTTCTTAATTTCGAATCAAAACACATATATTTTGGTAGCAAATTGGCAAAATAAATAGCCAACACCACAAAGCGGAGACACCGGCGTTAAAGGAGCCCTGCCTTGGGCCTGCACTAGGGGACACTCTTCTTGGGTTTTGCTTCCCTTTCTTTCTTTCTTTCTTTTAAGTCTCTTGTCTTTAAATTAAGGGGTCACTCTTGGCCCTTCTATTGGGATTTTGGGAAGTGTAAAAGACCCTTTTAATAAAAGGGGCTTAAAGCCTCATGATTTGGGGCGGTAAGTTCGCGTGCCACCACCCAAACACAGATTCCCCCACGCCTTGAACCATTCCCACACCTTCTCCTCTCATATTCTTCTTTCTTCACCAGATCCTAGGTCTTTTCTCTTCTATTTTTGTTTCTCTTTACCTAGACTAATGACTCGTGTGGTCAAAAGCTAACTAGCTAGCTCAACTTTGGCTTTTCTTTTGATTATTCTCATTTCTCATACTTCATTTCCATAACCCACACTCACTTTTTACGTGCGTGATGAAAATGATGTTTAATGAGTAACTTTAAAGCTAGACCATCCCAAAAATACAACAACAGTAACGCATGAAGAGGTGGATGAGGTAGGGTTGGTTTGGTGCCTGCTGAAGACGTTTCGAAACCTATCGGCCGGAATCATAACCGGGTTTTGATTCTCCAAGAGTTGATCGATCGCCATCGATGTTTTTGAAGTGCCTTCAAGGACACTTAAGAAATATTGAATTTTTTTTTCCCCCATGGAATAACTCTCTTGATGCACAGTTCGAGGAACACATGAATAGTCAAAACATGCATTCCAAGGTCAAATGGATGGTTCTTGAAACGCTTGATTAAAGGGTTGGACAAAGGGACAGCCATGTTCGATTTGTACTTGAGATTTTCTACGAGCTTTTATGGGCCATGTTGGCCATTTTGTTAATGAGGAAAAGCAAACATGCTTTTTTTCTAATTTAACTTAATAATCTCTATTCTAAGAGAATATTTGGATGACTTTTAAATAAGCTTCCTCCTTTCTAAACTTTTCTGCTTTATTCCATTTGTTTTTGTCTACAGCACATACATGTTTTTTTTCTTTTTGGTACAAGGCTAGAGTAATTCTTAACTTGAGGGACATGATCACTAAATTAAAAAGAAAAATAGCTTTCTTTGACAGTCCACTTGGATTTAAATTTGAAATTATGATGATGAAGAGTGGTTATAACAGCACCAGCTAGCGTATGGGATTTCATTGGGTTGGTTAGTGAGTTTTAGCATGAAAAGATCATGAAAATTGAAGTAAAGTTTTAGATTTAGCAAAATGGATGATAGGTATGTTTCAATCATGTATGGCAATGAGGCCAAACTCACTTGTCAGCTTGTGGGGACAAGAAACACACATCCCTCCACGAACTCGAGTTGTTACCTTTTCTCTCTTTCTACTACAACTCTCAGACTTTTCTGTCCACACATGCAAGCAGAAGCAGACTCCCCTCCTAGAACCTCCCAAAATACTCAACAAGTGGACAGAAGAAGCTAGCATCTTACTTTTCAAAAGATCGAACAACAAATAATGAATCATGAGCACTGCTCGCTCTTCCTTTTCTTGAGGGAAGGAAACATTCTTGCACCTGGACAATCCCACCATAGAAAGCACAACCTTAGCTACTTGTTTCAAATTCTACAATTATCTTCACTCAACAGTGTGTGAGATTTACTAGGATGCAACAAAACATGTTGCATATGTTAGTCAGAGTTTGTGGCATATTGAGCATGATGGTGACCAGGATTTGGACCCCAATAATAAGTCCTTATAGCCCACATATATTGAGCAAAGTCACTGATGGTTGATCTCACACACTGTTGATGTTGCCCATTGGTGTAGTGAAATAATTGCAGTGCCAAGCCCCAACCCAAAATCAATAAAGTTACATAGGTGATTTTGCTCATTGGCGTAGATATGCATGTGAAAGGGAGGGTGATATCCAGGGATCAGTTCTCTTTATGCTGTTCGTACTAGAAAACCATCTAGGCATTTGTCTGTGAAAATTGAGGACAAAGGACAGAAAGGCCCAACAATTGAAGAAAATAGCTCAATTGAAATGCAAATATTGAATGGTGGAGCAGCTAGCCATTGTTACTTTATAAGTTTAGGTAGCATCTTGCCTATTATGAAGGAAAGTTGTATACATAAAACATGTGGCCACTCTCTTTGTGTCTGCTATAACTATATCAAAATTTGGCAGCTGAAGGAAGGCAATACTGGTGATCAGCCATTTGAGCAATTTTCCTCCAGTATACCTCTATTAAGCAGCAGATTTGGCGTTTAGTTCCCTTTCAATTTCCAGTAGGCATACAAACAAGATCCAAAGAAACCAAGTGACTGGCCAACAACATTCAACTGAAAAGACAACATGATCCCAGTCAACATAAGAATATGTGCCACTCTAAGACTGTCATGTAAACAGCACAGAAAAGTTGACAGGAGTTCATTCTCACCAGATCAAATGGAAGCCCACCAAATAGTAACCAGCCAAATCCAATGGTGAAAAGATCCTATAGCAGCACAATTAGAAAAGATAAAACATGAATTAGGATATGGTGTATCCAGGAAGACAACCAGGCTAACATTCGTATTGCCTGCCAGGTGTTGTAGGCCAGATCGCCAGAGACTAAAAACGCTAACGAGCATAAAAGGCTGGGAGCATAATTGAATAAATTGATAATAACTCCTCTTTCCCTCTATCATTGGACCTCAAATTAGGCTCAGTACTGTACCCTTTCGATTCATTAACAGAAACATGCTTAATGCATATGTTCGAGCAATTCTGGCTTAATTAACTTGGTCGCAACAAGGATGTTAGCTAGAAATGTTTACGGGTTAACTTAATATGCTGCATGTTATATATGGTTGTGGTAATGTAAAAAGTGCTTACAAAATTCAAGAATCTTAGGCTCTAGCATCTGCCATGGTTGTTACACTTGTTCACAATAATTTGATTTCACATCGTACAACTTACAAAAAAGACTCATAACCTCCTTGGTATTCTTTTCCTGGCAGAATTTGCTGCGACTGAAATCTAGTCTATGCTTATCTGCCATGTGTATCCTAGGAAAAGTGCATATGGTATAATGGATGTGAAATGACAAAGCAACTTAATGATAACCCACGAAAAGAACGACAAGTTTATCCAGAAGTTTTATAGTTTGACTGTTTAAGTTAAATTTCTACTCCATGATGAAATCCACCACAGGGAAGCCACTAACTTCATTATCTAAAATCAGTGTAAACTTCAACAACGAAAAGGAAACTGTTGTATCAACAAAATCACATCAGTATTGACTGTGGTTTCATGGGCACGAGTTTTAGGACACCACGAGGTTAAGAAGAGGCATGCATTTTACGTACCTTCAAATTACCGCAGATAGTCTGTGTCAATGCTGAATTTAGTGTTGTATTCATAAACACAAAATAATTAATTAGGAAAGCCATGATACAGGAAAGAAGCATCACCACCTGCAAAACATTTCAGTGCAGCAGTTTTAGATATGACTGTCAAATACGAATAACTGATGGAAGGGTCATCATATCCATTGCTCTGAATTTGGTAGAAGCCAACATTTTAGCAACTAATTGTTAAGGTCTATATGATGCAGAGAAAGCAAAAATTTCTTTAAGAATCACATTTTCCTTTTTGCTGATTTTGTTGAATGACAAGACGATACTTGAGTTTAGTTGTGATGACACAACAAGATCTTGGACAGAGAACCTGGGAGGAGCTACAATATGCAATTTACAAATTTTATGGATATTGTAGAAAGTAAGGAGTTGAGGCAAATGCAGTAACTTGAGAACATCTGCAGTCTTAGAATGTTAAAGATTGGTCCACCAGGCTGATAGATGCCATGTCTTTTTCTGCATGGGTATCATCGATTCTTTGGGTTTTCTTGAGTTCTCAAGATAAGGATGTTTAAATCTTAGCAAAGTTAGCCACTACCATGGCATTTTTGTAGAACACCAACAGTGCTCTCTCTGTTTTTTTCCCGGATAACACCAATTGCCAATGAAGAACAAACAAACAGATACACCAGTGCTCTCTGTGTTTTTTTCCAGGCATGAAACCATTAGGTGAAGACTAGCTAAAAGGGAAGAACTAGATAGGTGCATAACATGATGAAGAGGTGGAATAAACATACACAATCATGTTGATTGACGTTCACAGAAATTAATAATAAACATGGCATAGGTATCCACAGGATGCGTGTGCTTGTTTAGGCATGGACAACAAAATATTTTACCAACATCCTTATCAAGCATGCACATTAAATCCTTTAAATTTACAGTTCTTTCTGATGAAAATAAAGAACCTGAAATCCTGGGTCTAAGAGAAAGGGGAAGTTCCTCATTGCTTCCAAATCTCCTCTAATTGATGTCCAGAATAGCAAGATTGGTCCACAAATTATTCCTACAAAGTTAGGAAGTAAAATTATGCACAAATTCAGGTTAGTCCAATATATCAAAATGAATGTGGTCCTGTTAACTTACCATTGCACCACATAAGACCGAAGCTATTAAGGTTACTAGATTTACCTGAAAGGATTGAGATTGCATCATAAATCAAACAAAGTTTTGAAACCTCATAGCAGTCAATTGCATATGAGAAAGATCGCATTTTGTTACCAATTCGAGCAATAGAAGCAAGGTATATTGCTGTACAAATGTTTGCAACAAAGACAACAGCATAGCCATAAGCATCAAATGACAGGTCCCGAGCTCCAGCAACAAATGCACCAAGTAAGATTATCCCGACACTGATGAAATCCTAGATCATATAGGATATTAGAAACAAGAAAACCCAGATCACACTGTTATTATAATTCACGATAGCATAACTATTTAAACCATAGAAATTTATATTGTATACTTGTCATGCTTTAATCAAATCATAAGTTCATCATTCTTTAGCTGTTTAAACAGGTTCTAATGTGTGTGGAAAGTGACACCATGTTTCTTCTCATGTGATCAGGCCTTCAAAATTTTGATTGGCAAAACCAAGTTTGCATGGTCCAAGATTTTTGTCACATCAGAAACACTTTTTGATTAGAAACCTTAGAAATATATGAGAAACCATGCTAAACAATTAAGTAACGCGAGCAGTAACAGGACAACAACAGCAATATAAAACATGCAGGGTGTTAGTTAAAATCTATGATATCTATTCCCTCACCAAATCCATCTCTGAAGCAGCACTGTTGCAACAACTCAAATTTAGATAAAAGAACTCCACTTGTATGAATGATGTGATTTCGAAAAAAAAAAATAAAGAAAAACAAGAGGAATGAAAAGCTTCCACTTGTAATGAAAGGCCGTCAAAGTCAGAGTCAAACTCGACATTGGAACTCCTAGGCTAGCAAATTAAGACTTTCATGAAGCACCGGAAACTGAGATCAGCTCAACTCAACAATCAGTGCCAGCCATGTCTTCACCAAATGTCTTAATTTATATTAATTTTGCGCTTCCTCCTATCTGTATAAACTTGAAGCAAATCACTACTTATTAAACAGTTTCATCTTATCATCAGCATGGCCTCTTTAACCTCCCAGTAGTGCATATAAAGAGTCTGTTAAATGTTTCTAGTTATCAGCACACAGCCTTCTAGACTCCCAATTTTATTTCGGTACTCTTATTATTGATATATCACCTTTACATCAGAATCATTTACCTGTATTTTTCCCTTATCTTCAATTACACAAGTACTAATCATCTATCCAGTAGAACACTTTGTTATGAATTCATAAACATGCACCAAGTACCATCTTAGTATTCAATCTTTCTTTCAGTGGAGGAGTTGACAAGGAATCTATAAGTACATCTAATGCCATCATCATGCGAATAAACTTAAGGAAAACAGAAAGATAAATAAAGCTAGTTCCAAAGGGTAATTTTTAGGAAAAGCTTGTTTCCTTAATTGGGATGGTATTGTCCTGAAATATGCTTTCGTAAGTATCCATTATATAGTATGATATGCAATTCTGGATACTGTCACTGGATAGCAGCATATCATCTATTAACAGCAGCATCAAAGAATTGCTTACCTGCCAACAACACGCAAGGAATGTTTCCGTCCCGTCAGAAGATACTCCACAATCATTGTGAAAGCCACAGTAGTCCTCCTAAGGGTGGTGTACATGGGGACATTTATGGCACGTACAGATTCCATTGTGACCAGCTTTTAACAGAAGAATTAAAGGCCAGAAATAGTTAGAACTAACTCAAAATTCTGAACAAGGAAATAAATAACAAAACGTTGTTAAACACTTACCATGTAAAGCAAATATGACAATGCCAGAGGAAGGGTGTGAAGCAATGTCTTAAATGGTACCAATTTTGCTGGGTTTTTAGACATGTTCTGAGGTTCACTAGTTGTAAAAGATATGATCCTCCAGCATTTCATTGCATAAAGAATTAAGCATGAACATAGCATCTAGAACACACAAGAAAAAACACGACCCGGTTAACTAATGAGAAGAATAAGGACCTGGCATAAATAAATAGTCAAGTCAGTTAGCATTAAATTTCCAGGCATAGATAGGTTCAGAAATGAAAATCAGAAGTTAGTTGTCAATTGAAATCTTGGAAGAGAGAGTGCTAAATGGTTGCAGTAAATCAATGCTAACGCAAGCAGCTTAAAATTCACAAATCATAGATATAGTGTACTCCAGGAAACCATATTAGTAAAGGAGATACCTGAAAAAGTGTGATGACATTTGCGTATGGGAAACTGTAAGAAGAAAGGGCAGCTTTGTTGAACATCACCAAGAGAACTGTAGAACGGAGCGGTTAGCATGATCACACTAGGTACGACGAAAAAGGTTGCCTTCATGAAAGAAACCATTAAGCAAACAGATGGTAACGCATGCAGTACAATCTTAACTCAAACAATTAAGACAGTGTCGCAGCGGTCTCATATCGACCATTGAACGCAAAGCAACAATGATAACCCCAAGGAAAATCACAAGTTTAAACAAACAACTGTAGACTCATTGTGTTAAAATGATGGCCATAGTAGCAGAAATACACTTCAGTGATTGACAGAAACAATGCATGATATAACATTGATTTCCCTGCTGTTCAAAACATGCTTTCACTGTATTGCAGTTATCAGAAATTATTATTATTATTTTTTTTTTATGTGCCTTTTCCACTCTGTTGGTCAATGACTTTCAGATTGTACAGATAAACCCCATTTACAGTTTACGAGACTAGGACATTCACCTACATGACTAGAAACTTTCATTTTTCAGGGAAGGCTATGTAAGCAATGAAAATTCCTAGAAGATTCATACTCTCAGTGGTTTTCTTTTACTGCTGGATCCCAGAAACGTTGGAATGAACATTCCAATAACCGGGGAAAATCGGAAAATACTTTCCTCTGCAGGAAAAACAATTCCCGAAGTAGATTATTTTTACAGGGAAACAAATAGAAGCAAAGGTATATAAGTCTTCCTCAAAGATAGATCAGTCAGTAAGTTCTAAGCTGACATAAACAAACATGGACTATCTATTTCAACCGTTTTCATACCTCTTGTAAGTATCAGGCATCACATTCTTCACGATCAGTTATTGCGTAGGCTCGTTCTATCACGTCAGCTTACTCATGCTTTCACCCATCTCAAAACAATTTTTTAAGCCACATGCAAACCCCCCACCCATATGTACCTGGCAAAGCTTGAACTAAAGTCCATGGTTGTGGCCCCAACATGGAATTATTTGCACCTAAGAACGCTAGGAATTGAAGCTGAAGCGTGCGTCTAATCCACACAACTCAAGCAAACCCTTAACCATTAGGCCAACCCCACAGGGTTAAATTCCAACAATTTTACCTCCTTCATACTTACACCATCAAATTCTCTAACACTTTTTCGCAATCCCATCACAATTGACGACTTCACTTCACTAAAACCTATATTAAAAAGATACTCCTATCATATAGTCCTACTTTTTTAGACACACAGCCAAGTGTAGTTGATAATTCAGTTTGTCTCCTAAATTCCATCTCCATTATTAGTATCCTTAGTGGCATCAATAATACTAGATATTCTTCTATTCTCTTTGGCCCACAGCATTATCTCTTCAAACCCTTCTTTTTTAACTCACTTTTTGTTAACCAATAGAAAGATTCAACACCAACAATACCCTCTTCTTTTGCACCATCAAAAAAAAAAAACAAAACAAAACAAAACAAAACCAAAATTTTCTTCTCAAATTCTCTTCTTCATCCACATTTTGATATCAAGAAAAGAAAAGGTCATGACAAAACCAAGCAAAAAAAATAAAAGAAGGACAGTTTAAAGAGAAGAACAAAAGAATGGACTTGACCTGCACTGGCCATGTAAGAAATGGCAGCATAAGCTCCTTGCTTAGTCATGGCTGAGCCATTTTTGTCTTTCTCTTCGCTCTTTAAGGGATCAGTAACAGGTAGCTCCTTGTTAGTCTTTGAATCCATGCCAAGAAAAAGAAATCTTTGTTTCCCTTTGCTCTGCTCTTGGAAATTTGAGAGTGAGAGAAGAGAAGACAAGGTACGGAAGCAGAAAGCAGTTAAATAAAAGAGGGAAGGGAATATGTTTAAGTGAGGAGGAGCCCACCGAGAATGCGTTGGAATGGACACGTTGCATGGCGTGAGGAGTAGGGGCCCATTTGAAAAATTAGGTCCCAGCTAGGATGTTAATGGCTGCTTCCATTTTTGGATTTGTTTTTTAATTTTCTGGTAGTTTTTGGATTTTTATTCATTTTTTGGGTTTAGATTCCGTGTATGAAATGAAATGATCTGTTTGGGAACTTAACGTTTGAGATTAAAATAAGTGTAAATTAAACTACAAGGTGATAGCCAATCGGTAAAAAAAGTTGAATTGTAAGTTAGGTTTATTGTTCGATTCTTATGATAATCATTTTTAAGAATTTATTATCAGAAAATCTGAAATCATAAGTTAAGAATTCCCTCTTAACCACATTTAATGAAACATTAGTCTTAAAATATGCATCACACTCAGAAAAAGATTAATCTCTTGAGACGCGCAAAAGCTGGTCCTAGTTCACTCTTGCTAAACCTAAAAAAAAAGTTTAAATTATTGTTAGTAGTTGGAAAATAATAGAATATTTAGCTTGTGTTTATTTGTGATTTTAAAAAAAAAATATGGAAAAATTATTCCGTTTTAGCAATTCGATTATTGCTAAATGGGTTAAGATTTTTTTATGATGGGTGAAAAACCTACTTGAGAGTGTTTCTAATTACATCATTTTAAATTCAATGATGACATGAAAAATACTAAAAAAAATTAAGCTTTTTTTAGTTTTAGTGTTTAATTTGATAGTTTACATTTAAGGAACAAAATCCAATATAAAAGATGGAAATATATGAGGTTTTAGTATAATTGTTTATACGTTATCAAAAAAATATAATTTGTTATACATAATTTAGTTGTGCTTGATTGAACATGGATCATCAGTCAATTAATTTACTTGGAAATTACTTGCCAGCATTGCTAATTTCAAAAATAGAATGTAAACAAAGTTGAAGAATAAAACTGGACTGAAAGTATACTGGCAAGGTAGCTTCAAAGATATTTAGTTACTTACTACTCCATTTTATAAGTTTAATCTCTGCCATTATTATTTTAAAAAATAAATCATATTATGTTATTTCAATTGTTTTGATTGAGACTTCTTTATATATATATATATATATATATATATATATATATATATATTGTTTAGATTGATATCTTTTAATATTTATGTTGTATTGCCCGAGTCTCTCTATTGTAACTTCATTCGTTGTAAGCTAACGTAGTGATGACAGTGATACGTTTATTTCTAAATGCATGACATATGTCAAACTCGAGACTAGTTTTTTTTAAAAAAAGAAAAATTAACATGTAAGGATATGATTGCACAAACTTTAGAAAATAAAAACCAAAATATTTTTATGAAAACTTTAATGACCCAAAAATTATAAATAAAAGGATCAGATTGTAGAATAATATTTATTTCAAGGGCCAAAATAACTTGTTTGAAAATTACAAAAAACTAAAGTCAAATATTTTGACAACCAATCCCAACAATGATGCACTAAAGAACAGGATAAAGCTTAGCGAGTATTAAATGATGGTTAATAAATAGACGTGTATTAAAAAAATAAAAAATTCCGAATATATGATAATTCAAAGTGAAAATAGGGTTACTTTCTTGGCAAAAAACTTGAAATTGCATCCCATTTTCTTCTTCTTCTTCTTTTGTATAGTAATTAATTATGAGTAAGCAATAATATGGTTTTCATTGTAATTTTGATGATTATACTTGTGCTTTTCATATTGTATGTTAAGTTTTTTTTAAAAAAATTTATTATTTTAAATATAAATATATATATACATATAAGAGTTTTACTGTGATAGAATATCACATATGATATGTTTTTTAGTATTTGGGTTGAGATCATAAAGGGATAGTCGCATGAAAATTATAAATAAAAAATAATAATTTGATTCATGGACTTTTTGAATTGTTTAAATTGAAATTTCATACCTTTTGAATTATTTTGATTGAGTCTCTCTACTGAGATTTCATGTATGATATATTTTACACATTCAAAAATAGACATATCACGTTAACTACTCATGATTAAAAGAATTATAATAAAATTAAGGTATCAACCAATACAAAACAAATAATACATAATTTCAATATATAAATTGAAATTAAAATAATTTAAAGAGTATAGGATTAAGATAATAACAAAACCCACGTTAATTCTATGACACTTAAAACATCGAATGCATTATGAAACTCCATTGCATAACTACGATTATTGTTTTTTGTTGCCAATTTAACTTGTTTTATAATCTTTATCTACCCTTTATCAATCTTTTGGCGTAGAACCTACATATTAACAGGGGGTGAGCGAAAACATTAGGTTGAAACTTGAAACCATATTAATGATCAAACTAAATCAATTTGAGTGTTTTCTTTGAAAAAAAAATATTGAGTATTTACACATTCCTAGCATAAATGGGTCGAAATAAAAAAACTTAACGTTATTTAAAGCCTTCTATTTAATTCCAAAACAAATAATTCAATCTCCGAAAAATCACATAAATGGAAACTACTTCAACCAATTATTTAATAAATGTAGGTTATGTTTGATATGATTTTACAAATTAATTTAGCTTATTTTTTAATTTTCAACTCAGAGAAATATTATAAATACTGGTTAGAAATGACTTTATATTTGAATCAAAAGCTTATTATAAAACTGAATCAAAATTTTGATCTACTAAAAAATTGACATTTTCAACTTTTAATTTATAGATTTAAATTTATACTCCATTATTGCTTAAAAAATATATATATTTTTAGTCATTTTTACAAACACACTGCCAACTTAAAATCGTTTTAATTCATTTTTCTCTTGAGTTACTTATGAAAATTAACTTTTGGATTATGACTCAAAAATTAAAAGTAATAATTCAAACCAAATGGACTCTTAATTTGGTTGATTTGATTATTTGTAATTAAACATAGACATTAAGCATTTTCTAAAATTAGACATGTTCAATGTTTATGAAAGCAAATATCCTCTGATATTACCCCATCGGTTGCCACAATTTTTAAAAAAAAAATTAGAAAAAATAAAAACCTGCATCCAAATTATATATTTTCAATATTGTACAAGTTAAACAAAAAAAATATATTTTTTCCTAATTTACATGGTGAAATGAAAGCAAAAAAAACAAAAATATTCGAGCACTTAAGTTATTCGAAGGTTCTGTCATGGTTGTCATATCCAATTCAAGAATTGATCAGTCATCAAATCAACCCATAAGAACGATATATAAAGTAAAGCATTAAAAAGAAAATCAATTGTTTTAACAAAGTCTAATACGATGAAAATTAAGTTATCAGAAAATAATTTCTCAACAATTACTAATAATCAAGTCAAAGCACCAAAAGATTAATCAACAACTCAATGGTTTCAAACCATAACAATCACAAAAATCCAAATGTTCAGCATAAGACACAACTTAAATTTCTCGAAAGCTCTAATGTTGGACTCACCTCTATAGAATGAAGCGGCACTAAAACTTGGAAATGGTAATTTCACGATGATTAAAAAATATAAAAAACTTATAAATTTTTTATTTTTTACTCAAAATCTTTTTTTTCTTTTAAATGTTAAAAAAAGTAAGTAATTAAAGAAAAATTTAAAAGAAAAAAATCTGGAAAAAAAATCATTCATAAATTTTAAAACACATTTAATTGTTGAGAAAATTAAAAAAAAATCAATTACTGTAAAAAAAACGTACGTTAACGTTAAAAATTAATAAAAACATAAGAGAATGATCTAATTTTAAATAAAAATAATTAAAGAAAAATCAAAACTTGAATTAAAAATTGAAAACCTATTTTTAAATGAATTAAAGTTGAAAAAAAAATCATTGTACCATTTAACCTTTACATAATTAGTACGATGAGATGAGAAATATGGAACAAAAGGCATGGAATTAGTATCATATTCTGACAATGGGTCTAGGCTAGTTGCTGACTAGACTGACCTGATGTGGGGCCGACTTGATCCGTCGAAATCTTAACCACTAAGGCGTTGAATAGTTGTCTAGCAATTTTCGTGGCCATCTTTAAAACGATATGCTATTTTTGCATCTTTAAATAATAATTTTTTATCTTATTTTTTTCACAAAATAAAATATAATAAATAGATGTATCTATACAATAAACACTTGCATATGATAAATTTTATAATACTTGATAAATTAATATTTTTAAAAAAGATAAATACGTAAAAAAAATATCTAACCTTATCAAAATTAATAAAAAAATTTTTATCTTGACTCAAATTTTTTTAATTTTTTAATTTTTTTTATATGTATCTTTTTTGTGAAGTAACTAATTACTTCTTTAAATTTTATAAAATTTGTATATATCTTATATGAAAATTCAAATCAATTCTTGTATAGTTTCTTTTGTCCTCAATCTATAACAACAAGAAATATTTGGTTTTAGTTAACCGAAACAAATTAAAATATCAATTTTAATTTAATTGAAAAATAGAAACCAAACCGACAGTAATTCTGGTTCAGGTTTGGTTTTTAATTTTTTTCATTTGGTTAAACCGAAAAACCAATTTTTTTAATATATATATAAAAAGTTTTATCAAACCCTAATTCCTAACTAAAACACCCAGACGCCAGATCTCACTCTTTCTCCTCTCTCACAGCCGCCTCCCTCCTAACCCTAGACCTAGACGTCACTGCCTCACTCTCACAGCCGCACATCCAGACGGACCCCTCTCTCTCTCTCTCTCTCTCTCACAGCTGCCTCCCTCTTCACGGCCTCACCTTACACTCACAGTCTCCCGTCCTCACCGTCCTTAGTCCTCACTCTTTAGTCCCTCACCGCGACGTTTGCCTCTTCCTTCTTTAGCTTCCCTGCAGTCAGTCAGACACCCAGATCGGTAATATATAGATATATCTATACAATAAATACTTGCATCATATGTCTTACATGGAAATTCAAATCAAGTCCGTTCTTGTATAGTTTCTTTTGTCCTAAAAGATGTGTATAGCCAGAGATAACCAAATTTCCTTCACAATACCTGATAAAACCAGATTTGATGAAAATTGATATAAAAATATTTTCCTTCGTATAAATGAAAATAAGGATGAAATTCTTACAAGTTATAATCTTCTGTTTCTCAGTCAATAAGAGCAAAATATAAAAATACACAGTACTAGTTCGTGTGTGCACATAAGATTTGGTATACCACACCACATGTTATAAAGTCTCATGATCCATATCACATGGTTCTCCAATTCAGTTTCTTAGTGGCAGTCGGCCTCTTTATTCACTGGTAGTATAAGTAGAAAGTGTGGACACATACATCGATTATTCTTTGGTAACTTTGTGAATTGCAGCAGACTTAAAAATTAAGATTTCTTGGGTTTGTGGTATTGGATTGTATGGTTTGTGTTTTTCCTTGTGTAATCACCATCATAATATTGAAGAAAATATCTAGGTTTGCCCTTACTATTTTGTCATGAAATCGCTTCCATTGCTCTAGATGGGTAAAATGATTTCGTATTCTCCTCTTTACTTGATGTTTTACCACCTGCTAGGCCTTTCATGTCTGTGCTTTATTTGTCAAACTGATTAAGGTTTCATCTTTTTTTGGGTTTATGTAGGGATGGAAGAACGAAATTGGGAGGATTTAGACGCTGATTGTCTGGCTAATGTGCTGGGAAGGGTTGGCCTAGACTCTTTGCTGTTTGATATACCTTTTGTGTGCAAATCTTGGTACAAATTCACCCTTAATCCTTTTTGCTGGGATACTATTGTTTTTCCAAGCAATTACAATGATGGTGATGTCCAAAAACGATTCATGAAAGAATACAGAGTCAAGAAATTTTCTCTTGACGCATTCGTAAAATTCATAGTTGATCGTAGCCTTGGCAAGTGTACTGCGCTTTATCTTCATCACCTGTACTTCGTCAAAGAGGAGACCATAAACTACGTTGTCGACAAGTGAGTTCTCTAATCTTTATAGTTTTACGTTTTTTTTTTTTTTGAACTTTTTTATGCATAGAATGTTTTATAGCAATATTAATTTTATTTTTTTATGGTTAACGTTTTTTCGGCCAATTTTTTTTAGATGAAGTCTACAATTTTCAAAAATTTAAAATAAATTCAGTAAATAACTTGCCAGTCGATAGTAACTTAGTCCTCTGTTTCAGAAACTAAAAATTCAGATAATTGTTTAGAAAAAGACCAAACTATTCCTAGGTTTCGTTATTTGATAACCAAATTGACATTTTATGAATGGCAATTAATGGCAACGGAAGGACTAAATCATAAACAGAAATAAAAATATAAAGATGCTATTTTAAACTTTTTAAAGCAGAAATTTGTTTCACTAAAAACATAGTAAGTATATAATAATAACTTGCTTTTGTCTTGGTCCATTTCATTAATGAATCAAAACGCTCTGATCTATATAAACTTGGTCTTTGTAGGAGTTTGTTGTTCATTGTCTTTGTTATTGATTTCAGGTGTCCTTCTTTGAGAAGATTGTCACTGCCTCGTTGTCAATCTGGTGACGGAGGGTTCAATGCAGAACTGATAAGGAAGTTGAAACATCTGGAGGAGTTGACACTTCGAGATTCTGCTAATTTGATAGATATAACACGTGAAATCAACATTAACTGCACAAACTTCACTCTATTGGCTATTTCTCACGGCGGGGCTTGCATTAAGGAAGAAGAGGCATCAGCTATTGTCAACAACCTTCCAAAGATTAAGTACCTGAAGCTGTCAAAGGGATTCATTGAGCAGAAGAGTTTAGTAATGATATTGAAAGGATGCAAAAATCTTGTTCATTTGGATGTGAGCAATTGCTTAGGCTTCAACCCTGATGATAAAATACTAGCACTGGCTTCGCATATTGGTGAATTCAATTATAAGGGGTCAGTTTCTGATGCCAATTTAAGTGCTGATTATTGGGCATTCTCAAATGAATGGAAGGATGGAGTGAGACAGAGACAGAGACAGAGAGAGAGGCAAGTAACTCCTTTCATCCATAGTAGTAGACGAAGAAATTCTAGTAGTAATTTACTTGATTAGTGTTGTTCTGGAAACACATGCACACACACGTTCAGGATCATCCAGGAATAACTATCAAGTTTCTAGACTCTGAAGATAGGATGCTACATAGATATTCTAGTCATCTCGAGTGGAATTTTTCAGAATTTATCATCCTTTTTTCTATATATTGTAAAGGATTGTAGGAGCGGATCCTTTTTTATTCACTTCTAATCTTATTATGACTCTGTTCTCATTCTTGTAAATAATACTAGATTACAAATAATTTACTCTTTTCTTTTCATGCTCGTTGTGGGGTGAGTGAATATTAAGCCAGCTAGAGAGAGAGAGAGAGATTGTGGGGTGAGTGAATTTTAAGTTGGCTAAAGAGAGACAAATTAATAAAGGTTAGTTTTGATAGAATGGCACATAAGAAAGTAAAAAGGCCAAAATCATTTCTTCCTTACAAATGCAGGTCGACTCTGCGAAAATGCACGGCCTTAGTTTTACCTTAACCAAGGTCGAAATTGAGTCAAAATTTTGATTTAATCGAAAATTGGATTTTTTAACTTTTGATTTATAGATTTAAATTTTACTCCATTCTTTCCTCAAAAAATTTATTTTCAATCATTTTTTATCAACACACTTCCAACTCAAAATCGTTTTAATTCATTTTTCTCTTAAGTTATAAAAAGTAACTTTTGGATTATGACCCAAAAATTAAAAGCAATAATTCAAAAGTCTTGCCAAACGGAATCTTAATTTGGTCGATTTGATTATTTATCATTAAACATAAATATTAAGTATTTTCTAAAATTAGATATGTTAAATGCTTGCGAAAGCAAAGATTTTTGAATATTACCTCCTCAGTTGCCAAAATTTATTTTAAATTAAAAAATAAAACCTGCATTCAAATTATGTATTTTCAATCATTTACAAGTTGAAGAAAAAATTATATTCTTTCCTAATTTAAATGGTGAAATAAAAGTAAAAAAACAAAAATTAATCAAGTGATTAAGCTCTTCGAGGGTTCTGTTATAGTTTATTTTGTCCTAAGAGGCTTGTATAGCAAGAAATAACCAAATTTCCTTCACGATACCCGATAAAACCAGATTTTATGAAAATTGATATAAAGATATTTTTCTTCGTATAAGTGAAAAACAAGGGTGAAAGTCGTGTATTTATTGTATGGAAAACTAAAATTTGATTGTGCATTTATATTCATAGATTGTTTTTTGCCTTTCGTTGAATATATTTATTAAACAGTTATTTTAAAAAATTATTGTTTAATTTATTTTTTTTTATTTCTATTACTATATACTAAAGTTATTAGTAAAATTCAATATTTATATGTACATGATATTTATTTTATTTTATTTTTGTTATCTATCGAGTCTTGAATATGATATTAGGATTACAACAAATACATATTTTTATCGGCGGAGAATCTCAAATCACGAAAGGACAAAAAAAATCTTTCCTTATCACGTCTTTGGACCTGCTACGTAACCGTTGTTATGTATGGCACCCTTTTGTTGCCTTGTGTTAGGAAAATTAGGCGGGACATGTTTGCATGTTGAGGTGGCTCAAGTTGCTTGCCATGGCCAAAGGTGTCACAAGCATCAAGCAACAAGACAATGTCGTTGCGATATAAAAGACGACGCATTGAGTTGAGTTTATATTTTGGTCGGATTTTATGGTATATATTTCACTCTTTAGTTGTAGGGTTTTTTTTCTATTACTGTTTGAATTTATTTATTGAGATTCTTTATTATTTTTTATCTTGATTAAGATATATATATATATATATATATATATATATATATATATATATATATATTGTTTCAGATTTTTTATTATAATTTCACTCGTTAATAATCAACTCATAATATTATATAGTAAAAAATCTCAAAAAATAAAAATGATATATTGATCACAAATTTATAACGAAATATATAAAGTAAAGAATTTAAAAAAAAAATCTCAAGAAAAATTTAAAAAAAAAATCGTTTATTTATATATAATATATGTCTCCTTTCCAGAGGCAGACCCAACTAGACCACTACAGCCCCCCCCCCCCCCCCCCCTCGATTTTTTTTTTTTTGCCATGGAACACCCATGCATGCCATCCTAATTCATGCTTTAATTGGTTTTTTTTTAGAATGCTTCAATTGGAATTTTAATTAACCTATACATAAATGAGTATATTTTTACACAAAATAATTAATTTAAGGACTTAAATAAATGTAAAAATATACTTATTTTTATAAAAACTATTATCTATGCATAGAAAAATCCACCTAAGTTTATAGAATTTTTCTATACCTCCTAAATGGTTTTTCTATACCCATTAGATAATTTTCAAACACATTTAAAATACTCAAAAATAATTAATTTGCATGAAAACTACTATTCATGCACCGAAAGTATTCACTCGAACATCATAAAGTTCATCCAATGGTACGGAATAATCTAACACCCTTCTAACAAATATTATATGCAAATAGAATAGTTTTCATGCACATTTAAAATACTCAAAACATTTAATTTGCATAAAAAATTACTATTTATGCATCGAAAAACAAATAAAATATTCACCTAGTGCAGGAAAATTATCCAAAGCACATCGAAAATTCTAGCATCCTCGTGGTAGCTATCTTATGCCCACATAATAATTTTCATACATCCTTAATGTATTTTTAATTCATTTAATAATGGGTTTGAAATTTTACAAAAGGGTTGGGGATACTTGTTGGAGTTTTCATCTAAAATATGTTTCTATTTTGATGAATATGTTTAATGCAATTATAGTTGAGCATCATCATAAAATTGACATATTCAATGCTATGATAGATTCTCAATTGCAATAACCGAATAATAGATTCAATGATCATACGATATAACTACTCATTTTTTGTTCGGTTTTAAATCCTAAAGAGATGCTCATATCATTTAGGATTGATGACATATGTAAGTTAGTGTATAAATTTTACCCTTAAGACTTTGCTGATCATAAAATGCTCGCTATTAAGGATACGAAGTTGAGCATTTTGATCATATAGGAAATCTTTCTAATTTTGAAACATTATCAACTATATCTAATTTGTGTCAATGGTTGATGAAGATAACAAAATTTAAAAGTTATCCACTTGTGTATAGAATGATAACGAGTTATTCTTACTCTTTCGGTTTTTACGACTATCACGAAACGGTTATTTTCAAATATGAGCATAGTTAAGACTAAGCTTCGTTACAAGATGAAAAATGACTTTCTTTTCGATTGTTTGTTAGTATATATTGAAAAAGAATTTGTTGAAATTTTAGTATAAATTCGCTTATAGATGATTTTCGTGACTTGAAAGAACGAATATCTCTATTTTGAGATTATTTTAAAATATGTATTGATATATTATTTATAATGTATATATATATTTGTATAAATCATAACGAATTTATAAATATTTATTTTGGTCCTCGTGGACATTTGGTCATGTGTCCGCTACTTCTCCTTTCACAATCTATATCAATATTTTTTTTTACTCGTGTGGTTATATATCTAGACTCGGCCTATTTTTTTTTTTCAATTTATTGTTGTCTTAAAAAAAAAAAAGAAAAGAAAAATACCAATACGAGAGTTAAACCCTTGTATTTGTTTCATCCTCTATTTAATTTTTTCTCTTAATTATAATTATTAAGAATTTTTTTATGTATTTCTCATCTACTGCTAAAAAAGTGAAGCCTTTTATGATAATTGTAAAAAAAAAACTAAAAGAAATGAGGTTTTTTCTATTCATTTACTATAGCATTTTTTTTTTAGGTTGGCCGGCGAGCTCGGCTTGGCTAACAAGCTTGCACAAGCAATCCTAACCGAGTGTTTGTCTTTTTTTTTTTTTTTCCAATAGTTTATTTTTTTTATTATGAACTTAGATGTGAAAATATCAAAAAATATCATTATTTTTTTTAGTTTTATGTACGGTTTGACGGTAGTATAATATATATATGATATTTTTTAAGATTTTAGTTTGAACATATATATCTGATTATATTATTTTTATTGTTTAAAATTTATTTCTTCAATTGTTTGTTTCTTATTAAAATTCTCATCGAATTAATTTTATATAATTTTATTTTTTAATAAATTTGATTTTTTTATATGGATTTTGAAATAAAATTTTAAAACATGATTGTTTTAGTTTTAAAATATATTATTATAATTTATACAATTGATTATTTTTATGATTTTTAAATGAATGTAGCGTAGTTGTATATATAAATTCCGATGAGGAAGAAAGAGAGAGCTAAAAGTATATTTTAGACAATTTGACCTAATATTTTTAAAAAATAATTATAAGTTAAAAAATAAGTGGAATCAATTTGTTTTTTAAAAAATTAATAATTACTTTAAAAAATTCACGGAGTTTTATTTGGTTATATATATATATATATATATATATATATAACCAAATAAAACTCGTGAATTTTTTAACTAATTATTAATTTTTTTTTAAATTGATATATATATATATATATATATAGTATTGTTATAAATTAATTATATCCGCACACATAACGTTGATTGTTTGTTATTTATTTTTTTCATATTCTAAAATCTGTATTTTTAAATAAAACAATTTAATTAATATTTTGAAAGAATCTCTTAATTATTCAAATATAAATTTTTATACTAATATTATAAATTATTTTGTTAATAAATATATATAAATCAAACAAGTTCACTCAATATATAGATACGATTTACATTAATCTTAAAAAACAAAACATCTATTTTTATCACACCATACGAATCTTTAATCATGTTTGTGTGTGTCCGTCTATGTATTTATATAATGATTATTTTATCGTAACGTTGAATTATACTATAAACTAAAGTAAAATATTTTTTTATTGTAGCAATGAACAATGATTATCACTGTTTATTATTGTTTTTTAGTTTTATTTTTATTTTTATTTTTTGCCTAGCACCCTCGGGCTTTTTTGCTCTGTTTACTGTTCATTTGAACCCTTCCCTTTTTTATTTTCCTTTCTAAACATTGAAAAGTAAACAGCTGGTCCCCCTTTTTTTCCTAAACATTGAACTGTTTTTTTTTTTTTAATTTTCGTTTCTTAATAATGTTGGGTGTTAAAATTTTAACAAAACTAACAATTAACTGGGTGTTAAAATTTTAAAGAAATCAACGATTTATTTTCTTTATTATTTATTTCTAAAATTTAAAATATCTAATTTTTCTTTTGGTTTTCCGTTTGGGAAAAGTGAAAGTTTTTTTTATTTTTTTATTTCTATTTCTAAATAATGTTGGGGTATTAAAATTTTAAAGGAATCAATAATTAATTGGATGCTAAAATTTAAAGGAACCCACAATTTATTTCCTTTATTATTTATTTCTAAAGTTTAAAATATCTAATTTGATAAAATACTATTTTTGTTTTCAAAAAATAATTATGTCTATAAGCACATACTATCACATAACATAGTTTATTAATTAACAACTACATAAGATGTATTTCTCAAAAAAAAAAAAAGTACATATATTATAATAGAGAATTTTAGTACTCATAGTTTGTCATTTATTACTATTTTCATTAATTTGTCATTTCTATCAAATTCTCATCCAATTAATTTAAAATATATTTACTCATAGTTTTGATTTATTTTAATATTATTCATCCAATTAATAAAAATTAAATTCATATTTTTTTTAAAAAATCGATATTCTCATCAATATGAAATAAAAAATAAAATATTTGTTCAATTCTATATAAACTTTTAGTAATTGTTATTTTTGTTTTTCGACACAATCTTATAAAATACTAAAGTGTTTTTTTAAAATTATTTAATTTTCCTTTTAGTTAATAATCTATGGATTAACAAGAATAAATCCTTTTTGTAAAAATAAACTATAAAAAACACAAATAAGAAATAGTTAAATATAAAATTTTTAATTAAAAAATTATAATTATTTTTTTATTTTTGATTTCATATATTATTAGAGATTCACGTCATAAAACATATTATTAAACTGAAATAATTTTTTTAAAATAATTTTATATATTTTATTAAATCTGACTGGTAAAAAATATAAGTATCTAACTAATTATCCACGAGTCTGAATGGAGAAAAACTAAACCAGGAATACCTAACAGTCTCTCTTGCTTAACTCCTTTGACTACTTTTTTAATTTTTATAATAATAATAATAATAAAATAAAAAATCAATGAAAGTGTGAAACCGAGTCTTTTTTTTTATTATTATTTTCTCATTTTCATCTTCAACCCAGCCTGTTCAAGGGCTCCACATTTCGTTCTCACAACAGACGTCTCTCTCTAGAGGCTACCACTCCCTCCCCCCAAATAGCCCATTTCCTTCCTCCCTAAGCAAAAAATATACCTCTTCCCCCTCTCTCTCGAATCTCTAACCAGTAGCAACCATGCAAGAACCAGAGCTTCACGATTTATCAGACGACGCCGATTACGCTGCCTCTGTTCAACAAGTACTCAATCAATCACTCACATTTCTACGAAATTCAATTCACTTCACAAAATTCCAATCGGCCAATTCTTTAATCATTTTCAATTCGATTACTAGGTTTTTCTTCTGTTATTTTGATCGTGTTTGATTTTGATTTAGGGATCGGCGAGTATGATGATGACGAGGAGCGATAGCGGAAGGAGTACTTCGTCTAGCGTGCCGGAAGGCGCAGAGGTTGTGTATTTGAAAGATAACGTGACAATTCATCCCACTCAGTATGCGTCTGAGAGAATCAGTGGTCGGTTGAAGCTCATCAAGCAAGGCTCTTCTCTCTTTATGGTAAATAAATTAGGTTTTTTTCGTATTTTTTTGTAAATCAGTTTATTAATCACTTGTAGTCTATCTGTTTTTGTGTATAGCTAGCGGATTAATGCTAAAATGTGGTTATTTGTGTGATTATGGTAGACGTGGTTTCCGTACAAAGGGCAGAGTACGAATGCGAGGCTTTCAGAGAGAGGTTGTGGTTCTGAACTGTTAATTTGGTGAATTATGAGTGTTATAATATACTGGAGTAAATGTGATATGGTTGGTGAAATTTATTGTTGTGTGGTTTTGTTTTTGTAGATAGGAATCTCTACACCATAAGGGCTGTGCCTTTTACGGATGTGCGGTCCATTCGTCGACATACTCCAACACTTGGGTGGCAGTACATAATTGTTGTTTTGTCATCAGGTATATATGTTTCTGTTTCTTTTAATGAAGGCAGTATTCTTCAGTGATAGTGGATGTAGAGTTTTTAAATGCCCGAAGCTGCTTTTGACTAGTGAATAAAGATCAATAAATGTTTTTAATACTTTCAGTCTAATAAGTGTTTAATGGTTTAGTTGATAGAACTTAAGATGGTATCTGTAAATGCTACAATGTCTGATACATCTGTCACAAGTATTGCATCTGTCATGGATTTCTCACTTGTTATGGTTTGAACTTGCTATGAAATCACTCAAAAATTGTACATTCCGAGAGGCATTAATAGAGATGAGTGAAATGAGATTGGAAGAATTTGGTACTTTGTAGTGGCAATCTAAGTATTGTGCGGCATCTATTTTTTTCCTTTTGTGATATTTGTCTCGAGGAGATGAGCTTTATTTTATTTACATTTTTACCTCATGAAGGTATGATAAGTTCTTTATCTATTAATGAACTACTACTTTTAGTCATCTTGTTTAATTTTATTCCAAGGTGATTATTTCTACTTCTAGACACTGTTGTTTGGTTGGTGTATTTGTGCCCTATGTTGATGGTTACAAGTTTTGGGAGTTTATGCTTGAATTCGGCAATCTGTGGTTTTATTTCTCTTCGTTTTTAAAACGGAGTTGTTATGCAGGACTCGCATTTCCTCCACTTTACTTCTACAATGGAGGAGTCAAAGAGTTACTTGCTACAATAAAGCAATATGTTTTTATTGTGAGGTTGGTTACTGATTCATTCTGCAATTCCTTTTATTTCGAGACTCTCTTCTTGTACTTCTATCTATCTATAAATATATACATTATGAAGGTTCACATCCAGATATTTTAAGATGATCTCTAATTTCTTTAAGTTGCATTATGCTACGCCTTGAGAGCATTTTATAAATAGATTTGACTACTGATTTTTTTCATTTTTTATTATTGGGTGCCTTGGTTCCTAACCTGTTGGTGCTTTGTGGTGAAAAAACTGCAAGGTTGTGTTTGAAACTTGACAAGAATCAAATGAGGACCTTGCTTGGTAAGATATAAGGACCAAAGCCTGGCCTTGCTTGGGCCATGGCCAAATGGAATTTTGGCCTTATAGAATCTTCTCCCCTTACAGAAATGGGTTGGATGGTGGGGTTTGTTGGCTCTCTTTCTCCTTGTTTCTGACATAATTAGAGAGAGGGGGGGGGGTAGATAAGAAACTCTCAGTTTATCAGCGAGTAGTAGGTTTGTTCTGCAAAAAATTGTTGTTTGGAATGGGAGGTTTTAAAAAGCATAGGAAAGGAGTAGCAGCATGAAGTTGTCCTGTCATGTCTTGCATAGAGTTTCTGATACGAGGCAAATGATTATACTCTTTGAGGGTTTATAACTTTTCCTACAAAAGGTTGCAGTAAAGGAACTGTCTTGGTCACCTTTGCCAGTTTTCTTTCTATTTCTTCTAGGGCTTCATGATACTCTCACTTTTGGGAGCTGGGCTTTTTGCAATTGTTCTTCTCATTGTTGCTCCCTTTCTTTTGTCCTTGTCCTTGTTCAGCTCTCTATATACTTCCTATGTGCTTCTGTGTTGTTCCTTTGCTCTGTTTATTTTTTCTTTCAACTTAACTAACAGAAGAATGTCGTTTGACATGAATGTGGCGTCATATCATGTTTTTATGAAGCATGAAACCTTATATGAGCTGTGCTGTTAAATCATGCTTAATGCATTCTCTTAGATCAAGTACACCTTTTTTTTATGGTGGAAGGGAACCTAATTATACCTTAAGACACCCTTCAAAAGAATTAAGTGAACAAAAAATAAGAAGATGAGAACAGAAGTGCCTTCTCCGAGAAATGCACCCTCCCTCCCCCTACCAACAACACCCCCCCCACCCCCCCATTATCATCGTCTTTGCTTCTTTTGTTTGTGCATTTCAGGATATTTTTCAGATATAAGATTAATTTGTATATGATGTTCTTAAACTTGTTTACTCTTACATCTATCTTGATCTTGTTTATCAATTAGAGATGCCATTTCTAGTAATCTAGTCGCTGTACATCACATTTCAGGTCATTGGAAGATGCAAATGTATTTCTGGTGAATGATTTTCAAAATCCCCTGCAGGTGTGCATGAACGTTTCTTTGTTCTCCTTCTATAGATAGCTGGTAATTAGAGTCACTTTCAATTGCAACTATTGCCCCCTCCCTGTCTTTAATTGCAAATATTTGCTTTGAAAGGTTGGTTTGCATTAGACATTGCTTTCAACTAGGTTGTGCCATCTCGGTCATTTCTGCTATGTTTTAAGTCCTATCCCCTGAATCGATCTAGATATTCAAAATCCTGATATGTTCGGTTGACATGTCTTTGCCTTTGTCCTCTATCTTTCGTTTAATGTTTTTTAGCTGTGTTTTGCAGAGAACTTTTTCATCTTTAGAATTGCCTGTTTCTATTGCAAATGGGCCATCTGCATCTGTTTTAGATGTTGATGAATCTTCTCCTTATGAACGCCAAGAGGGGATTGATGGCAGTATCCATGATAAAGTTCCCAGGCCTTCTCAAAACCTTGGGAGGCAGAAGCATAAGAGTCACGATCCTGCTCGAGATCTCACAATCCATGTATTGGAAAAATTCTCTCTTGTGACCAAATTTGCTCGGGACACAAGTTCACAACTATTTCGTGAAAGTAATAGCAATGGCTATGGTTTTATCGAGAGGAAAAGTTCTAGCCACTCTCCCCCTGATGTCCCCCATAAGGGATCCATGGATGCAGAGATAACTCCTGAGGAAGGTCCTGTTCCCTCAGATCCTCTGGAGGTAACTTTTTCTTTGCTCGTGCAAATTCAAATCTGTTAGTATTTTGGGATCCTCTGGAGTCCAATTAAATTATTGGTGCTGTCGTGTCCTGCTTCTAAGAGCTATTATTATTTATTTCATTTGATGTATGCTCTTTATAATATATTTACTTCTTAGATGACAAAGAACCCATAATGTGCACATCATCAGTAGGCTTGCATGTGCATTTGAAACTGGGTATTGGCATAGATGTTTGGTTCTCTATTTGCAAATTGTGGTTTAGTTATGCCATTGTTTGTCTCTTGCATATAGGCTTTTTGACGGTTCATGTTGCTGAACATTTTGTTCCCTTCTACTTCTGTTTGAATCAAACTATAAAGTGTTTACTTGCAACTTTTGAATTTGGAGTATCAATTTTCTTTCCTGGTTTTGGTTTTTCCTTTTCTCCTGTTGAGGAAATTCTTTGTAGCGCAATGCTGATTTTGTTAGCTAGTGAATGGAATGGAGCTACCAAATCTTCTCTTGACAATATATAGTATTTTAATAGCTAGTGACTGGTGTAGCGTCTGGTGCATGGTAATCACAGAGAGTCAAAGACTAGTTTAGCCCTGCAGGTTTACCATTAAGTCCTTCGCAATTACATGGATAGTAATCTAAGTTCACCATTTACTAACAGTATCAATATATAGTTACTTTGAATCAAGCTATTCATTTTGGGTTAGGTTAAATCTTTTTCAATAAGCTGGTACGTGTTCTATCTATGGGGACTTGTTGGAAATGGGTGGTATTTTTCATGTATTTAATGAGTTATAAAAATATAACAAAGCGGTTATTTTGAATGTGGTTAACACAAAATTTTCTTGGGAGCCCAGGCACCTATTTGAACTTTTTATGGGGATAGGTGTCGTTACTCCTACTTCTCACCACGTCACTGACTGGCTAATAATCTTTTGTTAGTGGTAGTATCATGGTTAAAAGATCAAGAGTCTTACCTCCTGGTTCAATTCAGGCTTCTGGTGTTACTTTAGTTGGGAAAATTTGAACTTCTATTCCAGTTTGGTGTGATGCAGACCTCCATTCTTTTTGAACAGAAACTCCTAGGTAGGAAACATGATCATGGTGAAGGGCCTGACACCAATTTTGGAACTTTTGAGCTAATCGATTGTAAGGAGGTATAAAAGTAGCCTTACAGTTTAATTTAGTGTCTTTGTTCACTTCTCTGCTCTCCTGTAGTGATTATCAGCTCGCAAAGTATATCAATTGGGAGATGGTTTTGCATCCTTATTTCTGGAAAAAAAATCTCTCTCTCTGCCATCTCTTTTGTGACTCATCTATTAAAAAAACACATGGACTGAGCTCAATGCGAATCACATGGACTGAGCTCAATACGAATTACATCAACTAAGCTCAGTATATTCTTTAACAAATGACCACTGTATTATTCTTGTGACATGCCATCCTTCTTGATCATTCTTGCACGAAGTTGGAATAAGAATGTGGTAGTGTGGAGCTACGGATCAAGAGTAGAAATGTAAGCTGCTGGTCAAGAAAAATATTGGACAAACACACGGAGGGGGGGGGTGTTGAAGAGTGGGCAAATTGGTTTTCCAAGCATTAGGATATTGATGCTTCCATTGCTTTGCAAAGTATAAGTCCCAATTTTTTTTTTTTTTTTTATTGAGTGCATTGTGTCAGTGAATAACTAGATCTGATCTTGGAAAATCTATTCATATCTGGGTGATTGCCGTGAGTTGAATTAAATCTAATTGTAACATAAAAATACATCAACTTCACATCTGTTGGGAGCCCTAAACATAAACTAGTCTTACATTTGAAGGGTTTTCCATTGTGGCACCTCAGATTTCATTTTGTGATCCTACTCGATGACCAAATCAGGGACCAAGTATGTCCTTATGCATTACTTGAACTTTTCATTTTCTTCACTTTGCATTTAGAAAGTTAGACGGTAGGTCTCCATATACTTAGTGGTGTGGTAACATCTCCTGCATGCAATTTCATTGCTTCCATTAGGACGCTAAATGTGGTAGAAGAAAAGCACATGTAATTGCTAACTACTTGATTCACCCTTAGTATTAAAAAGTTTAAGATAATAATGACTTTCTTGGGATGATTTAAACGGTGTTTCATGGAATTTTTTTTCTTATCTGTGTTGATCTATAAATGCAATTTCATTCTTCTTTTTGGATGCGGGATTAATTCTTGTCCCTCTTCTTTATGGCAGTTCGATAAAAAGGCACTTGTATGGGGAAAACCACGACAGCCTCCCTTGGGGTCTGAAGAGGTAAGGCTCCTTTTCCTGAAAACTCTATCACCTTTAATGATAAATCCGTCATTATGAATATCTGTTAGGTCATGCGTCACAAATTCTTTTGAAACAATTTCATTTCCAGCACTCTTTCTCCTGTATCCTTTTATTTTGGTCTCCGACACTTCCTTGGATTGACTTAAATGCTCCTTTATTTTTGATGTTTTACATCGATGGGTTTTTTGTTGACCCTGTGCCCATGCTTACCTTCTTCTGTATCAATTTAAAAAGTTGTCAAGCGTGTGCATAATCTGTTATACACATACTGACTTGTTGAATAAGAAAGTATTAGTGTTTATAATTTTGCTTTTTGGTAAGTCAAAGCTGCATGATTATCTTCTGGGTAAACGTTCAATTCATCTAGAGTTGGTCCCAAGATTCAATTGCTGCTGACGTTATTCTTTGATTTGACACTAGGGTATGGAATGGTCCTTCAACTGGATGTGTTTCCCCATCATAACCAATTAAAATTTTAAAATATCATCTGTAAACCTCATAGCCACATTACCATGATAGTCCTTGGATGGCTATCATTTGTGCAACTCTGATTTACATTTGTTGCAATTACTCAAGCTTATTGTTTTTAAGCTCATGTGCCAAACTTCTGTGAGTTCAAGGGTTATAGATCCCACCCTGAGAAACCATTTATTCATGTCATAAAACGATGTAAATTTGTCCATTTCATATGCCGAAGTTCCCATTGAAGATGAATTTAATAGTACCTGTGGGCTCTTAACCCTAATTTTTTAATCAACACGTTGAATGTACATGCCACTATGGTTTTTTTTTTTTTTTCTTCTAATTTTTGTTTTATTTTCAGTGGGAAACTTTCTTGGATTCTGAAGGGCGAGTCATGGATCCAGAAGCCACAAAAAGGAGAATATTCTATGGGGGAGTTGAGCACACAATGCGCAGAGAGGTTTGTTCCTTACTGTCAGTAAACAGTTGTTTGCCAAGTCTTTCTTTGGCTTAATATGCTATTCTTCTTTGGATTAACAATAATGAATATAGGTCTGGCCTTTTTTGTTGGGATATCATGCTTATGATTCAACGTATGCAGAGAGGGAATACCTCAAATCTACGAAAAAGTTAGAGTATGAGACAGTAAAACAACAATGGCAGGTTTGTTATAATTCTAAGTATCCATATATCACAGTGTGCTTATGTTTCTGCCTGATATGCTTTTTCGAGGTTTCTTTCCCCTTCCTTGGTGAAGATTGGGTTTTAGACACCTTCTCATGTTGTTGAGGATTGAAATTGCGGTTTTTTCCTCTTTGGACGGGCTTTTAAATTTGAAGTCTTCACCTATTGTTTTTAAAGCTCTTATTTTCCTTTTCATTTCTATTTTAATTGTTTCAAGAAACATGCTATTTCATTGCTTGAATTTTGCTTGCTTTGGCTTGTATGATTGCAATTAGGTTTAATGAGTGTTGATGCATTGTTGCGGAAATAGAAAGAGTGATTTGCGATCATGTTGTCTGACTTTCTCACCATAATAACCAACTAAACAGAATGCAGAGCAAGAAGAGTAACTTTTAAAGCTTCTTTGGTCGCTTGCATGTGATCCTTAATAACAGACTGTGTGCACACATTATATAAACCGAGTATTTGTTTTGGTTCAACTGTGCTTTAGGGGGAAGAAAAGGAGCTTTGGCTCGTCTTTGTTTCTCTCCTAATCAGCTAAAAACAGTGCTTTACTTTCAAGCACAATGGGGCCAAAGAGACCTTAAGACTCAAATCACAAACTAGGTGAAGTTAGCTACATGGATTTTCTTTGTTTATTTGGCTCTGTTTTAGGCTAAAATTTCTAGGGCTTGGTGGCCCTTTGTAATGTACCATATCTGGGCTTCCCTTTAAGTCCAGATAGATGAAATTTTGTTGTTTGTCCACTTTTCAGCCTAATTACTTGTACTGTCATTGGAAATTAGTTTTGCTTGTTAGGCTGAGTGCAAAACTGCTTTCTAATCTGAATGATGGCTTCTTCTTTTTTCGCATAAAATACATGCTTTTGTTTGCTCTATTCAGGAAAAGATGACATTTCATTTGTAAGGTTAGGTTAAACTGTAAGTATCAAAACTATGTTTTGGTCTCCCTGGCATCTATGTCAGAACTGCAGGTGCTTTCATGTATCTTTAGCAGTTAGGGTCATTGCCTTTCTTCTAATATTCTTTGAAGAAGTTTCCTTTGAGGCTTAATACATGCCTTTTTTTTTCTTGCAGAGTATTTCTACTGAACAGGCAAAGAGATTTACAAAATTTAGGGAAAGGAAGGGCCTTATTGACAAAGATGTGGTATGCATGAAGCTACTATGACTGTTTCAAGCTTTAAATTATTGATTTTACTTAATAAAATTAAAAGATAATTCAATTTAATTCTAATAGTTATTTTGTTATGTGTTCAAGGTGAGGACTGATAGAACGCTGTCTTTCTATGATGGTGATAATAATCCAAATGTGAATATGTTACGTGATATTCTATTGACATACTCCTTTTACAACTTTGATCTTGGTTACTGTCAGGTAATAACTTCATTTCTGCAATTTTTGCTGCAGTAGATGCTGTTTGTTGTCCTCTCTGACAATTGGAGTCATTATTTGTATTTGGTGATTGTTTTTATATTGCGTTGATGTAACTTTGATACATGCTAATAGTTGCATTCATGGAGATGGTTTTGTTGTGATTAGCTACTTTTGGGGCATACAGTTGCTTCAGGCTCGATCTTGTTATTCCTTCCCACGCTTTTGTTTCTTCTCTTTTTAATGTATTTTGTGCCTTATTTCATGTTGTGTATTCTCATGCTGATATGCGGGCTGTAAATAAACAAAATGGTTTCAATAAGGATAAATTTAGTAATTCTTAGTTGCAGTTTGTCAAGGTTGTCTCATATGCTCTCATCCAGGATAAGAAAACAGTTGAGAGTGGGTAAAATATTTCCTTTTCCTATTGCTAAAAAAATGTCTAGTGAACACACTCAAGGCCTTTCTTCCCTCCTGTTTGAGAAATTGTTATAGTGGGGATGCTGAATGTTCATGTCTCTGTCCTTTTTTCTCAGGGTATGAGTGATTTACTATCGCCAATTTTGTTTGTGATGGAGGATGAATCTGAATCATTTTGGTGTTTTGTGGCACTGATGGAGCGTCTTGGACCCAATTTCAATCGTGACCAAAATGGCATGCACTCTCAGCTTTTTGCATTATCTAAGGTCTCTCTCTCTCTCTCTCTCTCTCTCTCTCTCTCTCTCTCTCTCTCTCTCTCTCTGACAATTCATCTTGTGAATTGTATCCCATCTTAAATTTAGATTCTATTTGCTTCTTTAGTGAAATTGCCTTTTGGCTTCATTAATTATGATCATCCTGTTTCTTGGGTTGTCACTGTAAAATTTACATTATCAAATTGTGAATGGTAAACAATCATTATGTTGGGATGTTAGAACCATGGACAAAGGTTATGTGCCAGCTGGATTTCAGTAAATTGTTTTGATAGGCTGCAGTTACAAGTTGAACTAACTTTTGCTATTCTCGTGGCAGTTGGTGGAGTTGCTTGATAGCCCATTAGATAACTATTTCAAGCAGAATGATTGCTTGAATTACTTCTTTTGTTTCCGCTGGGTTCTCATACAATTTAAAAGGTCAGATTGGTAGATTATTTGTTCCTCTTTTTCTGCTGTTAGGATGGATGGATGCCTTTTTAATGAAGCTGCTGGCATACGGTTCCAATGCATTTTTTTCTTCTTGAAATTACAAAATATAGTGGATATAAAACAGAATAGTATGTTGATATAAAAGTTAATATGTATTTGGTGCTCATATCGGTGTTGGATTTTCAACGAGAACAATTTAGTTTTAATTTGAAACAATTATAGTGGCAAGTCTATTGTTGTTTCACCAAGAAGATACTTGCATGCATTCTTAGATCATCGAGTCAAAAGAGCTTGACTGTTGCTGTTGAGGGCTTGAGTTAGTGATGAATGGTTTATAATTTACTAGTTTGCAATACAACTTAAATATCTACCGTCAAATATATTCCAGAAGGGAATATTTACAATAAATTATAGCATCTGAGCCCTCTCCTCAATTGAGATGATTGACAAGCAAGAGAATGCTGGACACGACACTAGTGGTGCATTCTTTTTGGCTAATAATATAAAAACCAGTTTTGGGACAAGATGTACAAGGAGAAAATTGTTCTCAAACATCAGCATGTGTGTGTATATATATATATATATATATATATCTCACAATGCTGCAAGCTTTTACTAAATTCAGTGATGTTTTCTTATCCCGAGTATCAGAATGTGAATGCTATACTTTCTAATTGCTAGAAATTCAATGGAAATAAGGTGTTATTGCTTTATTTTCTCACTATTTACCAAATTTTCAGGGAATTTGAATACAAGAAAACAATGCGGTTGTGGGAGGTGTTGTGGACCCATCATTTGTCTGAGCACCTGCACCTCTATGTATGTGTTGCAATCTTGAAACGGTATCGCAACAAGATAATAGGGGAGCACATGGACTTCGATACACTCTTGAAATTCATAAATGAGCTGAGTGGCCATATCGACCTTGATGCAATTCTTAGAGATGCAGAGGCTCTGTGCATCTGTGCTGGTGAGAATGGTGCTGCTCGCATCCCACCTGGAACTCCACCTTCTTTGCCTATTGAGAATGAGAATGCCTTATTGTACGCTCAAGAGGATGAAGTACTGTAATACAATTCTACCCATCAGTCCCTTACAATCACAGCTTTATTTTCTGTTTTCTCTGTCGAATGCCTGTATATAATTTCAGATCTTTCAAAATAAAATGTTAATAATTGAGCGATCAGCTCTATTTGCTGTCTCCTTTAAACGTCACTATCATGTGTATTGTCGGTTGAGGGGATGTAACTTAAGCTCAGTGTCGCCCCTTGTTACGTCATTATTTATCATTGCTTCTTGTTCGCATTTCCCTCGCCGAGCGAGATATATTCTTGCTTCCATTTTTCTGTTCGTCCTCTCCCTTGAAGTGAAATCATCCTTGATTGGATTTCGAACGACATCTACAATTTTCTAGCTTCTAGTGCTAGAAAGAGACATTTCGGTAGGGATGTGTGGACATCTGCATACGTACCAGCTGATTGTATTAAGCTGATTGTGATGGCTTATGTATATATTTCATTCGATCAAAAGATAATGGGATTGATGGTTGAGGTGTCGAAAAATTATTTGAAGTTCTTCCTTCGCTTCAACCTTGCTGTGCCTTGCGTCTTGTAATCTGCAACTTCGTTCAGGATGTCTTCATTTTCGTGGGACTTGCATCAGTAACTCTGAGGGTGTCACGGAGGCTAGGTGGCGGATTTCTGATTCTGTCTGTCTTGCGACTTGATTTCAACTATTGGATTATTTATTTATTTTATTATCATGCATTGTACGGTTTAATTTTTTAATTCTTTTGGTGGGCACGTCAGATTTTTTATGCGACTTGCGTAAATAAAAAATCGCCGTGCATCTGTTTGAAACATAATCATAGCTGATTAATAATAACATACTGTAGAATCCATAGAACAATCCTCAATGGAGCGGGAAAAAAAGGGAAATAGCATAGATTTCCCTGCAGCACGTAGGACGGTAGGGGTCACGTCTAATACTCTTCTGAGTAGAAGTGGTCTTATCAGGTGCAGGGTCATGCATGTATTCTAATAACAATGGCATGACTGATTGCGTGCCAACCTGTAAATATGTCTCCTCACCAGTCATTAACACAGCCTAATGATTCAAACGAAACAAAGGAATCCCAGTAGGCTAAGAAAGGCTCATCATCGAAGACAAAAGCAGCACTGATGTCTGGCACCATTGGAGATTCTATGTAATAGTTCATGCTCTGTGCATCGTGTTGTATCCATGCATCACTCACGGCACTTATCTCTTCTTTCTCTTGGCTCTTCCCTTCCAATTCTTCAGTGGGCTGAGAATTGTTTAGTGCACGGATTCTCTTACTTCTGCTCGCCTTCTTCGAGTTGTTTTGGTTCCCATCGGGGTCGGAGTCCATTGTTGTCCGTTTCCTTGAAGGGCATCTCTTGTTCAAATGGGTATTCCAGTAGTTCTTCACCTCATTGTCCGTCCGACCGGGAAGTCTACCGGCGATAAGTGACCACCTACATATAAAAATGATAGATTGTCAGTTAACCTCTTCTAATCTGCATTGACGAGTAGGTTTGCAATGCGGACAACACCAAGAAGCTAGCACTGACCGGTTGCCAAGAAGCTTATGCATCCTAATTATCATGTCTTCCTCATCTTGGGACATCCCACCTCGTTTAATATTGGGTCTTAAATAATTCTTCCATCTTAGTCTGCAACTCTTCCCGCCTCTCATCAAACCTGCAATAATGCAAGTACAATAATTAAGACACCACATGAGACTTTTCAAGTTAAAATAAAAATACAAGTCTAGGCTCTAGGTAGTAGACTAGATTATCAAAATAACTTGACCTTTATACAGTCTAGATTAGCTTAATATACAACGGATAGAGCTATGTACCTGATTTCTTAGACACGGTCGACCAGTTGCCTTCACCATGAGTCTCTACATAAGTTTTCAGGATCAAGTCCTCCTCTGGTCTCCACAAACCTTTCTTGACCTGAGGCTTTGCTTCCTTACTTTCCATCTCTCTCTCTCTATCTTTCAGAAGGCTATGGGTGGCTAAGAACTGTTAATGAGAAAGGTTTATATAGAAAATAAATTTAGCATATCCGGATGTCACTATCTACCAGTAAAATGCGAGCTCCCCTCGTGCATTGACGTAGAACAGTGTTACATAACAGTAGAATCCTAAAATGGGTTGATTGACACGAGGGACCTGTACAAATTGCTTCACTTTAGCTTTTCCTTGGCATTTGCCACACTGTAAAAGCAAAGCATATCTCAGTTCCACTTTCGTAGTAAGAGGAGATAGGACCCATTATCGTAAGCAGGAACTAGGAAGTGCAAACACATGTCCCCTATGTCTCCTCCATCCTCCTGCATGCTTTTTTCTTGATGTACCTCAACACACCAAACAGTCGCATCAGATTATTTAGCTATTCCCGTATCAAGCTACTTTTGGGGTTACAAATTATAATAATGCATTAACCCTCACATGCTTGAGATATATACATCACATGGATACATGTATGCACTGATTCCTCTTTAGGTTCAAAATTTAAGTTGCGGTTTTTAAGAGAACTTCTTAGTCGTTGCAATTTGGGATTTTTGCTAAGAAATCTTAAATTCAAACCCTAGATATTTAAAGATCATGAGAGAGACATTCTTCAATGTGTTGCCCAAGAAGAAGAAAAAACATCATTAATCTAAGATCATAATGGTTTCATGAGCTAATTCGTTCCCTTATCCGATTTCCATGTATGAAATCTTGGAAACAAAAAAAAGTAGATGCTCCTTTCTAAACGAGCTGGTTAGATGTAGGAGTTGAAGAAATGCTAGTTAGCTGTGCGTACTAGGCAAGATGAACAGAATCAAGCATGGTGAGAAGAAGTATGAAATGATCAATGACACCACTACCTCAAGAAATCAGCCTTTTTATTGAGTCCCACCACAAAAAAAAAAATGCTGGTCTGGTTGGTTCAGTTCGCTCACTTTTTTCTGGTGCACCTGAATAGTGATCACACGTAGCCATTCTTTGTTGAAGAAGCCAAAACTGTCATTTCCTTAACATTATTCTCATCTCTTATCATTACATCATTATTTTTGTATATATTGCTTTTGAGACTATAATTTCTCCTTTTCAAGGCTTCGCAATCAACGAGGACATTTTGGACAATACGTAAACCTAACCAAAAGAAGAACCAACAATCATTTTTTGTCATCATTGTGAAGGCATGCCATGACAACAGGCTAAGCTTCTCCAAAAGCTTGTGCTTGTTTCATAGGACATTTTACGTGATGATTTGCAAATGGGCACATACCTATTAGGAAAAAAAATTTCTCTCACCTTTGAACAAAGAAATCACAATATATATATATTAAATGACTACTAAAACCGCCTTAATTGAAAGCTGGAGAGTTAATTGGAATGGCATAGCACCTATATATATATATATATATATATATATATATATATATATATATCAAGATAACTTGATATTTTCTATTATTATTATTATTTATGATATATTAAGCGGAATGTCTAATTGAAGATTTCTAATAAATAGGAGATCAAACCATTTTTTTATTATTATCTAGAGACTCCATTGGTTTATATGACATTATTCTCAAGATAACTTGATATTTTCTATTAATTTTTTTATGATGTACTAAGCGGAATATCCAATTGAAGATTTCTTATAAATAGGAGATCCAACCATTTTTTTTTTTAATGATTATCTAGAGACTCCATTGAGAACCAATAGATACTTAGAGGACTAATTTAAGCTTTACCTTTATTATTATTATTTTTGGTTCATTTCTGCAACCCATCATTTTAGATAATGGGTAGAAAAAGAGTTCCCAAATTAATTATTTTTATGCCGAATAAGGTTACCTTTTACAACTAATTAAAATCCCATTCGAACAATTAGTTAATTTAATGACATGTTTCATTCTCCTACGTACTCTTAATTTTTTTTCCTTAAATTTATTCTTTCAACTCTCATGTGATTCCATGCTCTTTGATCCGTTCGTAAAGTGGTCTATCCGTCCACAACCAATACAATCAATTTAAAATTTGTCGTTAAACTCAATCACTGGGGTTAATGAAGAAATTAAAATGAGAAAGTTATGGTTAAGATTAATCATTAGAGAATAAAAAACATGGTTTATTCTTTTTTCACGAGAAACAAGGAAACAGTGTGTTTCTGTGTGTGATTGTGGATTTTTATTACGTGGGACACCTTATCAACAACAAGATATGAAAGGTTTTAACTTCAATAATGGAACAAAATTCAAAGAAAACAAAATATAGGGTTGATTTCAAACACACCAAACAATGATTAAATGATTGTGTGGAAGGAAAGTTGCCAGCTGGAAACTCATCGAATGTCCATGGTTATTGTGGAATGACCACTGATGTATTATTCTCTTCTGGTGTACTGCCTTGCTTTTTCTGTCATTATCACCATATAAATTTTCCAATACCTCATGTCTTTTTGGTTCCCTTAATACTATAAGATCATCACTTTACGTGGAAAATCTTGGAAAATGACAAACTTAAGTGGGACGACAATCTATACCTTGGGTTTAACTCCTAGATGTTCTGGAGATATGCTTTTACAAGGAGATTAAAGCCGCCCCAAAATCACCACTCTCACTCCACCAAACATCCATCACTTTAGAATTAATCGTATTCACTTCCATCTTTTTGTAATGGTATGGATTCAATATGCCCATAGTGAAATTCAAATAAATAAGCATTTAATCTTTTCAGATAAGTAATTATCATTATTTTTAATCAAGTTGGATACAGGTGTCCGTTAAAATGACCCACTGTCTTTTGTTCTTTTTATCCTAACTCAAGATGTGTTCAGCCGAAACCTTAATGCTCTTTTTGACAGAAAACGGATCATTCCCTACCATTCTAGTCACAATGCGTTGGTTATATCTCACCTTCTCTTTGCTAATGACATGTTAATTTTTGGTAATGGCTCGAAAGATCTGTGGACACCTTTTGGAGAAAACAAGCTACTACTCATGTACCTGGGCATCCCTTTTTTCAAAGGGCGTGCTACGTCCGAATATTTTCTATGCTTAATTAGAGGATAAAATTAAAGAGAAGCTGGCTGGCTGGAAAGGTCGATTGTTGTTGGTAGGGGATAAGAAAACTTTTATTCAAAGTGTCCTCCCATCTACTTGATGGGCGTTCTTATCCTTCCTAAGGACTATAACGCTACATCTCCAATTTCTTTTGGAGCAGTGGAAACAATGACAAACGTTATTGGGTGGGGTGGTCCAAAATCTCTAAGTTGATCTTAGAAGGCGGTTTTGTTGTCAAAGACCTTTCGATGGTTATGATTTCAATGAAAGGCAAACTAGTTTGGTCCTACTTGGAAGGGAAGTCTCTTTGGGGTCGATTTTTACGTGCAAAGTATGGACACTCGTGTGAGTTTGATGTTATTAAACATAAATCGGGTTCGCTCATTTGGAAATCCTTAATTGTTCATATTGAGAATCTTGGCTGTGCATCCAAATGGATTGTAGGGGAGGGGTCTATCTCCCTACGATCGTTCTGTTTAAGCTCGGATTTGAGCTTGAGCTCGGCTATTCCCCTAGAGGTGTCAATGGCAGAGGCTATTACTTTGACAGAGATTCGAAATGGTCTACTGCCATAGTTGCGCATGGTATTGAAAAATATATTGTTGCAACCTGGTCTTCTGGATCCTTTGGATTTCACCTTAGCGGACAATGGTGTTTTCAAAACTTCTACATACGAAAATTAGTTGAGTCCTAGTCACTCTTCTTTTGTGCGGTGGCTGTCACTCTGGAATAAATGGATCCCGGCCAGGATTAGCGTTTTCGCGTGGAAGGTGCTTAATGGGGCTCTAGTGGTGGACTTACGAGTCCAAAACTGTGGCATAGCCTTAGCTACCAAATGTAGGTGTTATGGGGATCTCGAAAGAGAGACTATTAAGCATTTACTTACCTCGAGTCAGGTAGCTAGTGAGGTTTGGAGACATTTTGCATCTCTCCTTAATATTAGACAGAATTCTTCAGGGATCACGAACCAATTTGCTAACTGACTTTCTACTAGTACCATTTGTCATCAGAAGTCTTCTACCAAAATGGTGATGATTTATTTGCGCTCCCTTTGAGAGATTTAAAAGAATCAAAATCGCACTGTTTATGATGGGGTTGAAATGTCTGCAGCGATAATTATCTTTAAGGTAAAGGGATAGATTTTTTACCTCATTGATTTATTTACTCAAACTAAGTCGCTTAATTTTCATGACAAAATTTGCATTCAAGCTCTTGGCATAACTTCGTATTGAAAAATGTTTTGTCCAAATAGATGGATTAGATGGATACTCTCGGACGTTAATCAGCTAAAATTAAACACGGATGGCTCTGCTAGGGACCCTTTTTGTGCAGGGGGTGTTGTGGTGCGTAACTGAAAAGGTAATGTGATATTGGCCTACTTGGGTTTTTATGATCAGGGGTTCAATTATGTGGGGGAGGCTTCGACTCTGTTATAGGGACTTCAGTTCTATTCGGATTTGAATTGGGTAATTGATATAGTTGAGTTCGATTGGCGATTAATTGTCGAGGTGATTAAAAATTCCTTTCGATGCCCTTGGTCGATCTCATAATTGATTAGAAAATGTAAGGCTCTTTTACAGGAACCAATGTAGTTCATGTGCTTAGAAAAGGAAATTCTTTAGCAGATCATCTGGCTAATCATGCATACAGTCATTTTTCTACTCAGACTTTCCATTTAGCTAGAGATTTCCTAAGAGGTTGCAAATCAATCTGGCACAAAGACAATTTAGGGTTAGAAACATTTCGAGCTACTTAGCATGGTTGGATAAGGCTTGGCTTCCACGGTTTGTTTGTTGCCTTTTTTTGCCACTTCTTGTAAGGGTTATCCTCATTAGTTTGGTAGCTTTAGTGTTTGATGTACTAGCTATTTTGTTTAGTCTCTTTAATTGATGCTTAAGTGCATGTGGCTCTTTGTCATTGTACTCCTTGCTCCTTTATTTGTAATGTGGGGTTTTTAATTCCCTTTAGTTTTTTTGTTATTAATAAATTTGAGGGTAACACCATGACACTCTTTTTTTTAAAAAAATTATTATTATTTTTATATTTATAAATAGTGAAATATTCTCGAATCAGTTTTTGCATCAATTGAGACTAAATTCGTTATTTTTAGATTAAACCATCTTGAAAATATGCTTAACTTTTGATCGACTACTAGATTAGATGGTTATTCATGGATAATGAGTGCTGTACGTTGATCTTGATAAAAATAAAACAATTTTTATTTTTTTTTTACAACGAGAGCACATCTCGTTTTAGTTTCCAATAATAATAAATATCATATTTAAAAACTAATAGTAGTAAATATGATATCAAGATTTAAAGACTAGATATCAAAAAAGTAGAATTAGCTTCGGATTGCAAAAGATAACCGAAATATATCATTTAACTATTAAATTTAACCATAATCTTATAATTTTTACCAAATTCTTTTATAAAAAGATAAATAATTAAATTTACAAAATTTACTTATTCGATGCACTGATCATGTACATTCAATACAAGTAATTTTATTTTTTTAAAAGAAGAAGAAAATGAATTATATAACAACATGTAAAATCAGAAAAATGAAATTAAGAAGAAAAAAAAACAAACCAAACAGAACAAAACTTTGGGGACCTCGTGAACATCTAAAATAAGAGATTCTTTAACAAAGAAAATCAAACTCCTACGTTGGCATCACATGATTATTGTATCCTGATAACGATAAAGTTTTCATTAAACATTGAGCCAAATTATTGTGACTCTATTTATAATAATCATTAGTAAGAATTAAAAAAAAAATGTTTAACAAGCATGATTTATCGAAAATGGGCACGGATTACCAAGAAGTAGTGCAGTAGAACTTTTAAGCTGGCAAATCAACATCGATCAGTACGTAAGAGCTCGATCTCTTTACAAAGAATTGTTTTCAATATGATTAAACTATAGTAATAATTAATATGATTCCATCACTTTTGCATTATCTTGCTAATCAAATTAATATTGTTTCCAATAAGCATGTATTATAGGAGATCACATGAATCTTTCTTGCCTGTCTTCTTTTCAAAGGGAAAGCAACCTCTCTTGCATGCAAAATGGTTGTTCTTAGGTCCCCCCTGAGGCCCTGACTGTATATATATAGCCAACAAAGCCCTTTCTCTTTCACTGAATTATACTCACCTTAAAACGATTTCTTATATATATATATATATAGGAACAAAATGATCAGCAAAAAAAAAAAAATCAATTCCAGAATTTGAAAGACGAGCAACTCTATAATTTTCAGGGCTTGTCTTATATAATTTATCTCTTCGTTTCTTTTCCTTTTCTTTTTAATGAATGTTTACCATTTCAATTATATATATATATATATATATATACACACACACACCCCACACACATATGTATTTTAATTAATCTTCAGGGTTTGTCTTATATACCCACACACACATATATTTTAATTAATTATACACACATAAATTTTAATCAATTTTCAGGGTTTATTTTATATAATTTATCTTTCCATTTCTTTACCTTTCTTTTTTGGATGAATGTTTCCCATTTCAATTATATATTCCTTTTGGTCCCTGCCAAAGTTTCATATTTTCTTTTGTGGGTCATATAACGGGTTGAACGTGAATACAACTGTTCCTTTTGGTCCCAGCCAATAAAATACGAAACTTTGGCAGGGACCAAAAGGAACAGTTGTCTGGACGTTCTCAACTCATTCGATAAATACATGCAGCATTGCTCAAAGAATTATTGTATTAATTTGGAAGCTATTTTTTATTTAGAAAAAAAGGCTATACATAAAACACCAAACAAATAATAAGCATGACAAGTGATAAATGATGAATTATATAGATCTCAGGAACAGTAAATAATTGGTCATACCTAAAAAAAAAATAATAATAATAATAAAATCCACATCAATCAATGCAAAGATTTTCCAATAATTTATTTGTATGAATAAAATTGCTTTTTTATTTTTTATTTTTATCTTTTTTCCTCTCTTTGCAGGTCAGCTTTCAACTTAGAAATGATTCCACATCAATCCCAGCGAAATTAATTGATTCTTTTGTTTGCATTCTGTTTTCCATGGCCATTTTGGAAAGCCACTTTATAAAATATTTAAATTCTTTTGTCTTTTTCATCATATGGACATATAGGTCTTGGTTGCCTTTGGGCCCCCACAAATTTGTCTTTGTATACCGTTGATAGATGCATCCATATAATCTTTTTCGATTTTTGACATAAAAACGTTTATCTGCAATAGCTCTTGCGGTAGCCATCACCCATCAGTTTCTTATTTCAATTAACAAGGCACCATATTCTCCCTGATCATCAATCAGGCACACAAAAAAAATAATAAATAAATAAATCATACAAAGCACAAAAATGGAGATGCAGGGGATCGAACCCTGTACCTCTCGCATGCAAAGCGAGCGCTCTACCATTTGAGCTACATCCCCTTTCGGTATCTTTGGCTTTATTATCTCTACAAAGATAATAAAGATAGTATTGAAATGGGCTTTGAAGAGCCTTAGAGATCCTAGCATTGTAAAGGTTCTAAAGGCCCAAGCATTTGCTGCGGTATTTGTGCAAATAAAGCAGCTTTAACCCGGCAACCGCCTGTTGACAAATTTCTAAGCTGATCGGAACATTGAGCAGATTAGATAGTAGTCACTAAACATGGAGAAATTGGTCATACGAAGTCATGTTTTGCCGATAAACTGGACTTAGCAAGGGATAGGCATCTTCATTCTTGACTAGTAGGAAACCATTTTTGTGGCTAAATTTGAGGTAATTCCAGCTAAGAAAGCAAATCATTGTATCTACATTGTGTAAATCCAAATTTCACTCTCTTTATTTTATTTTATTTTTTTCCGAGCAAGACTTGAATCCCGAATTAATGGTAACTCTCTCCTACTTCTGTACCACTAAAAAGCTCTCATAAAAAATGCTTCAAGTGGTAAATGGTACGATTGAAGTTAAATGGAGATATCAGGAAAGTTCAGACGAAGGGCAAGCTCCTCCCTTGAACCTGACAGCAGGCAAGCCTAGTGCAGTTGGACCTTATAGAACAGGCGTGGCACCATTTAGTGCAGATGGAGACCGTATCTGACTGAAGCGATTTACGCAGTCCACTTTGCTAATTTTCTTCCTTACAGCCATAAATTTCTGGGCCTTAGGGTTATGGCTAAAAAGTACAGTGCCAGCCAGGTCCAAACATTTTTCATTAGCTTCACTGACTCCAAATTAATGAAAACTGGGTCAGATCTCGAGTCCGATAGTGGACTGACTCCACGTGTATATCTGTTTCCTTGAAGGATGTGTCAGAAATTTTTGATAAGAAAATTTTGACTTCTGTAATAGTGGGTTTGGTCTAGCCGTTTAGGACACTGAAATGGGTGTGGCTCCTTTTTATTGCTTGGTTTTTTCCATGGACCCGCATATCAAATTGGCATGCTTGAAAGTGATTTTGTATCTTCCCACTTATTTAGTTTTATAACCGGTTAAAAAAAGCATTATGCGAATCTTGTTTCGCACATTCTAACCTTACTATATTTGAAAAGAAAACTGCAATTTTTATTTTTATTTTTTAATGCTCACAGTTATCTGAAATTATGAAATAGTAATGTGTTTAAAAAAAACTGTTATATGCTATTTTTAATTATTATGTCGCATCATTTTATATTTTTAGAAGATTTTGGGCATTAAAACATAAAGAATAAAATAATTTTAAAACTTAAGTATTAAAATATAAAAATTTAACATTGAACATTAAACACAGAAAAAAAAAATTAAGCATCAAAATTGTAGTTTTCTTGATATTTGAACCAAAAAAACTGACAAACAAACCAAGAAACATAACTCTTAACCATGAAGCAAACTCCTAGTATTATCCCCCTTCTATTTCTGGGTGAAGACCTAGAGCAATCTAAATCTTGATGTTTCACAAATTCCTCTATGTGCTTTGAAAGTTCAAACATGCCATAATGACCCACAACTTGATTGTCAAGAAGAGCAACTTCGATAGAGTACTATTACCATACATGAAAGTGATATTGTCTCCTCTCAATTTCGACCTACCATTGATTGAAGCAATCAATTGATGACACAATGTTTCACCAATTTTCCTATTTTCTTAAACGTGACTCCAATTCTTATCAACATTCGAATTATAAGTTTATAAGATGTTTTGTATATATTGTATTTGTTTATTAAAATTATGAGTTTTTTTTTTATGTCTAATTTTAGAATTTTATTTTTATATTATTATTGTTATTGTTTCATATACTAATGTATCACGTAAACATATGTGGTAAATCGTAACTAACGATAGCTTACTATATGTCATGATAGACTCAAATTGAATGATTGAATTGATGATACGATAAACCGTCATCGATCAAAATGTATATATACAAGCTATCATTAGTTAGAATCTGAAATAATAATAATAATAATATAAAAATAAAATCTTTAAATTGAAAAAAAAATTATACTTTCGATTAAAGAAAATTCAAATTGTAGTTTATCAGTATGGGTAAAATCGTTGTTAATGGCTTAAAGTAAGTCCCTGGTGAATTGGCCTAACACTAAACTAAAATAGGAACAGTTGAACATGACCCAACAGAGTACAAAGGTGGTAAAGTGCAATTCAATGAATAGATCAACTTGGCTAGCTGGTAGGCCGTTGGCCTGCAGCCTGCTTTTAGATATGGAGGGTCAGGGTCCCAGCTCGTGCTAATTTGGTTAAGTCTTGACTAGGTCATGTTTGGCATGCTTGGATCTTTACGCGAAGGCTAATAGCACCTGATGTCCATGAACTCGTGTGTTTTTGCCTCTATAGAAATTCTCCTTATGGATCCATTCTATTATATTGTATAAGGATACCCCTCTTTCTTCTGGCTCTGTTATATTAATGTCAAGTATCAAAAACCTGTATTATCAAAGACATAAGAAAATAATATATTGGAGATTTAAAAATGGTCAAAGAATAAAAGAAAGGAAAAAAAACTCAAAATTTGAATATTTTAAAAAAATTATACTAATAAAGGGTGTATACTTTACCCAATAGTTTTAATTTAATTTGTTCAATATTATCTTAACTAATTTATTTAATATTTATTTAAATTTCTACTTTCAAAGAATCCAACCTTTGTTTCAAAGTAATGGAAGAAAAGATACATTATCTTATAATTTTAATTTAATTTCTTCAAAATTTATTTGATTTATAATTTTATAAAGTCAAACCTCTTTTTTTTTTCAATTATAGGATAAAAAAGGTAATATTGTACCTAGTAATGTTAATTTAATTTCCTTAGTATTCAAATTTAACTTCTTTACATTTTTTATATAATTTTAAAAATTACATATAATTTTCTAATTTTCTGATGTATATATCTTTAACATGCGACACACAATATAATTGAATCGGATAGAAGGACAAAATTCTTAAATGAAACTACGGTCTATAAGAGTAGAACCGACAAAAAGAAGATTCAGGCGAATAATCCAAAGAAAATCAAATGAAATAAGAAATGTGGTTTTACGATAAGAAAATTATAATAATTTGATTAAGATTAAAATTTAATTATCATTATCTATATATAATTAGTCATACTTATCTTTTAGTGATATCAAGTTTGAATTGATTTATCTTTGAAAAACAACATAATAGCCGATTAAATATTGAATTTATTTTGATATTGATTTAGTTTAAAAAATAATATATTTAATCTTAATTGATGCATAAACTGATCTAATAATATCTCATTGTGTGTGTATATATAAACGTGGCATTAATCATTCTTTTTATGAACAAAAGATTAGGATAAACAAGATGGTCGCAATCAGACTTAGTTGAAGCCAGCGTGTATGCGATGGAGGAAAATCTAATAATAGATGCTATATTAGATGGAAATATCAAAAATGGCAAAATGAACAAGACGATCTGCATCTGGGTCTCTCAATCTTGTGAACTATTTGTTTGGTAGAAATTCCAATCCAACAAGGAATTACACTTTATTGCAAGGAAGGAAAATTTTGAAAGTGAGCCAGTCATTTGAATTAGGCCCTTTGCCCTTTAGGCAATGATGCTAACGCAAACATATGTAGATGATTACTATTAAAAAAAAAAAAAACATTCTATAACCAGTAAATCTTATCTCCTACCAGCTGGTCTGGGTATGTTTGAAAGAAGTCCCCCTTTACAAAAATTGAATAATTGAGGCTCCAGTAGGTTGTTTTTTCTTTTTCTTTTTTAAAGAACCAGCTGCTCCAGCCGGTTGTTTGAGCTTAGTTATTAGAATCCCAAAAGTTTGATTGATGTGACTTGTCTCCTTTAAAGGCTTTCAACCGTTGTAATGGAAAGATAATTACAATTATAGGTTTTCCGGTTTTGTTGAGTAACTCTTTAACATTTTGTTTAGATATTTGGGCAGTCTATTGGGTCTAAAAGCACCAGACAATAGGATATTCTTTTCTTCCATGATTCCTCTCACTCCTGTACGAGCAAAATTAGATAACAAGTCATCGTTTGATATCACACATGTAACATTATCAACTAAAGTAATTGTTAAAAAAAAAAAAAAAAAAAAACCAAACTAGCTAGCTTCTAGAAAGTTTAATTTCTAGATACTCATTACCAAAATTACTATAAGGTAATTTTATACATAAATAATTATTAAGGTATGTAGTCTTAATTTGATTAATACTAAGATTCAATTTTTATAATTCACGGATAATTAGTTAGTGATATCAGATTTGAACTTATTTAGTCTAAAAAAATTCAATAATTGATCAAAAATTAAACGTGTTCTAACATTAATTTAACCAAAAAATGATAAATTTAATTTTAATTAATATAAAAATTGATCTAAATATATTCCATTATATATATGAGGTTCGAATTTGAGATTTTTTATAAAGAAAAAAAAACACTAATATCAATTGCGATGAAACACTTATGTGATACATGTGATCATGTATAAGTAATTTTTTTTATATAAAATTATCAAGAAAATACCATCTAGCTAAATATAATCACTAAACTGTTTAACCCTTTCGGCTTTACAATTTTTTTTTTTTTTTTTTTATAATGAGAAATTTTGATTCATGTACTTTAAATACAGGTTAGATAGATTTTGAATAATATCAGTTGGAGGTGATTGTTGGTTAAAACCACATTCATGAATTCTGACCGATAACTCGCAAAAAATGAAAAAAAAATAAATAACATTTATAGAAAATAAAACTTTAACCACGAACTCACATAAATTAGCAGATTTTCACATAAAAATTGCATGCGTTAAGCACACTACAGCAATTTGAATTTTGATGCCAATAACATGCCCATCGTAAGTCACACTTCGTGAACCCTAAAATGGGGACCTCGTAGCTAGGTAGGAAAAGGACTCTAAAACCCTATTCACTAGCTCTTCCCCAACCTATATACTGAAAAATGGCATAACTCAAGAAGAACCACTAGATCTTAGACAAAGTGAGTGGGAGATATCTTCGTCTGATTCTTCACCATTCAAGTTTTCCAAGCTTGGAACAGCTTGACCCAACGCTGTCCAAGATATTGACCAAAGAAATAGAGTTCAAGTCGATATATAACTAAAGTTAATAGAGTTTTCATTGTTCAGGTCCCCTATGGCCAGAGATCTTATGGCATTACTACATGCACTACATCATAGTAATTAATTAAGGTTAGGACCATTCAACACGTGGGCTAACCAGTGAGGGTTGAGTGGCATAAATCATATTAGACAATGAACACCTTGTTCGAATGTGGGTGGCACCAGGTACTGTCTCGTGCGGGTTCTTCGGTCCAGACCTGACCATTTTGTGGTCTAGCTTGCTAGCTAGGTAGGGAGATGGTCACGTGAACCCTGCATGGTTTCTATCCAGTCTTGTTCAACCTTCCTGTGACAACGGAGTCTGGCAGTGAACTTGTTTCGGGTTTAGGTGGGGCAAAATAAAACTTACAATATTTCTTGTTTTCTATGTTTTTTATTATTTTATTAAGCACCAGACAGAACAAAAACAAAAGCACATAGGGAACATATGATTTTGGAACATGATCTTATTAATTGGGAAAGACATTGGAACGTTTTTGTTATCAGTTGCATGGTCACGAGGGGATGATCTCTCTTCCCTTGCAAATCTAATTAAAATGGGACAAAAAGAACCTATATATGCTGTTATTAATTATATAATGTGATCATAATTTAATTATTGAAAGTTTTGGTCCCCTCTGGAACAATTGTTAATTTGTCTAGGAGCTAGCACATCTCTGTCTTCATTAGTATATAATAGTGGCTTAGATGTTAACCACGTATGCTTTGATTATAGAATCAAAGTTCATGGACCAGTTTGATTGTTGAATGTTTTTCTTTCATAATCTATGTTATAAAACTAATTGACCCATGAAAAGTTCACTGATTTCAGGTTTGCTACACACAAAACATGTATGCTGCCTGGACCAAAAAGACTTATGAAGCCTGAATATATTATTTAAATTTTTACTTTAATTTAAAATGGTTTATTTTTTTAGTTTATCAAATATCTTAAATCTAAAATTTTAGATTAATTTTTTGTTATTCGGTCGGATATATAAGATAAATATAATTATTCAAAAAGTTTTCTATTTTTATATATTTAAAATCAAAATTACTTACTTAATCGATTATAATTTTTTTTTGTTAAATTCTTTTTCTTTCTTCTTGCCCCGTGACTTGTGTTTAACGAGAAGAAAAGATGTGAAATGCTTATCAAATTGGCAACTAAACTAATCCCTGTCCCCTTTGATGTCGTCTTTGTGGATAGCAACTAATGAAACGTGTAATCCATTGGTGAATGTGAAGGTTAGATTCTGAAAAATGCGTGTTCATCATCTAGAATGTGAAGAGCTCCGTTATTATCTTAAAATTGTTGGCTTAGGTTGTGTTTGTAACGCATTTTGATTACATTTCAAAAAAAAAAAAAACGTTTTAAATATATTTGGATTGAATTGATGTTTATTTTTTTCAGATGACTTTGATAAAATCTCCCGAAAAATATTTGAAGCTTAAAAAGACCAAACCTATGAATTTTAGTATATTAAAAATCATTTAGTGAGATTTATCTATAGCTTTTAAAATTTTTTTAGAACGTCCAGATTATTTTTTATTTTTTTAATTATTTATGTTTTTAATATTCAAAAAATAAACAAATATGATTTATTTTCTCAATAAATTCTGAATTTTTTTAGAAAATAAATTAAAATTTTTCTAACATGTACAAAATTTCTTATCAAAATACTCGAATTGATTTTTTTTAAAAAAAAAAAAGCCATAGTTGAAAATCATAAAATGAAATGAATATAAAAAAAAATAAAGCTACATAAAATCAAAATACAAATTAAAAATTAAAAACTTGATTTTTAAATAAAATAAAATTCAAGGGATGTTTGGTCCTTTTATCTATATATATTTAAAAAAAAAACATTAAATTGAATTATATTTTTTTGCAGAATTATATATGTCACAATATCAAATCCATACTTATTGAATTCAAAAAATGATGTAAAAGGGGAAAGAAATTTTAATTATTATTATTATTATTATTTGTAAATACACCATTTTGGAATAAACGGATAGACTAAACTCAAGAGGGCTGGAATTGGATGTTAATCATGTACAAAACGGATTGATACCATATTTTTTATTAAAAAAAAAAAGGAAAAGGTGATGACATCTAGTGACATGGACCCACACGGGGACCTTAGATTTGACTCACGAATCTGAAGTTTAAAACTGGTTTTAAGTCTTGCTTCTAGGTTTTGTAATGAATCGTATGGGCCCCAAATGGAGAAATTAGTGCACACTTTTCACGCTCCAGTGAGAAGCGTGTTGCACGACAATTAGGATTCAGTGATCTTCACTTTTCCAGCGAGGGAGGAGGAACACTAACAAGCATCTTCTCCTTTTTTTCTTAAAAAAGAAAGAGAAAGAAGGGTCAGATTGCAACACAAAAAAAAAAAGAAAAAGAAGAGACTGATTTTAACCAAACTTCTTTTTCTCTCTTCTTTAAGATGGGATTGGTTGGGATGGTAGAGACTGAATGTGAAAATTAGATTCCAATTGATTAAAGCAAAAAGCTCTCATAAATGTCTCTATATTCTATTTTGTTTCTTAAAAAAGACTCATTGAAATGTATGTATGATACTTTATAGTTTGGTTAGTTACATGCAGGGAAAAAAAACAATGAGAATTAACCTTAATTAAAAGCTTAGACATTTTAGAAGAAAAGCTTAGGGTCGACGCTTCAATCATTTATCAATATCTATTACTAATAACTTTTCTTCTTCTTTTTTCTTAAAGTATCTTCATTCCATTAAACATAAGACTAATTTTTTTGAAATGAAAACGATAAAGTTTAATTCTTATTAATCAATACGATTTTAAAATTTGAACTTTACACGTTAACAAAAAAATTTTTTAGATACCGACTCACTTACTACTAAGCCAACAACTTGTTGGTTATTATTAATTACTTTTGGATTCAAATTTTTTAGCTATTTTTACTCAAATTCAATTGTCTATTAGATCATAATATTCTAACCTTCTTTGATAGTTTACTTAGGCTCCGTTTGTTTAGAGAAAAACAAATTTTATAGGAAAATCAATTCGAAGAAGCTATTTTCTAGAAAATTATTTTTCAAACAAATATTTTTTGACGTTTGACAATTACATTAAAAAACTACTGAAAAATATATTATAGATGCGGAAAATTGAAATGCAAAAATTATTTTTTTTAAATTGAATTGATAATTTTTTCTAAAAATAGTTTTGCAAATTATTAGTTATCTTTTGTAGATAATTATTTATTTGATTTCAAAAAATTAATGTTAGAATAATTTATAACTAATTATTGGCTATAATTACTAATAATATTTGACAACTATTTAATAATTGTTACAAATTATTGATTTAGTTATAAATAAATAGTGTTGAAAAAATAATGTATTAATTAATTAATTAATATAGTTTAGATAGCATTTGAGATAATAGTAAAAAAAATAGAGATAAATTATTAAAATATTTATTATAAAAATAATTTTAAGTTGTAAAACTGGTTTTTAAGAATATTTAATGTATTTATAAATTAAAAAAATCAAATGTTAGTATAAATAGAGAAAAAATAATTAAATAATCAATTATAATTGATAAGAAATAATTAAAATTTAATTTGATATATTTTAAATAAAAATAAGACAGAAAAAAAATTATTAAAATATATTGAGAGTAAGGTGATCGATACGTGAGCGAGACATCTCGTGAGAGAGAAAAAAATATTTTCTTCTTTTTTAACTCGAAAAATATTTTTTCAAAAACACTCTATCATTTTACTTTGATTTTTTTTTTAAATATGAAATAAATATTAGAAAGTGAGAAAAACAAATTCCTAAATACAACCTTAATTGCAATGAATTACATGATTACTCGATGTGATGGACTAATATGAAATTAAACGGTTTCATATATAGAAGATTTGCAATTTTTAGCAAGGATTAGCGTAACTTAAGGGAGGAGAAGATAAAGCTAGATATAATGTCACTTTTAAGCAAGGTCATATCTTCATGGAAATGGCTGCACCATCCATGGCAAGCAATCTTATCTTTCACAAAATTTTGTGCAGATGCTGTTTCTCTATGTGCAAAATTCCCTTCGATACGTTTGCTAGCTAAGATTTCAACCTTTTAGTTTGCGCGTGGGTACCTTTAGAACGGTACCAGTTTGCCGAAAACAATGAGAAGCTCAAAAGGACGAAAGCCAAGAGGGCAACTGGGTCGGCGAAAAGGGAGGCACTGATACGGACACCATGCCACTGTTGCCTAAACACTGTCCCCTTACCCGCTTACCATGCTTTCCCTTCTTACATCCCTTGTCCCTATCTCCACTCTCTAGGCCCCACCACAACCAAATATTTCAACACACCACCACAATCTTTATTGACTTTATAAACTATATATCTATCCTTTATAACAAGAAACCCAGATCTCTTCCACCCGCAAAACCCTCTCTCTCCCTCTCTCTGTCTCTCTCTCTCTTAGATTTCCTTTCTCGTTCTTGCTTGTGGGTTTGCTTTTTTTATTGGGAATTCTGATTTTGTTTTGTTGTTGTTGGACGATTTCTGTATATATATACACACGCTAAACTTACGCTAAGAAGCTAAGCTAGACAAGATGGAACTTCAACTTGGTCTCGGTCTTCCGAGAGAGAAAACGATGAAGGGTTTGGACCTAAACAGCTATGTCTCGGAGCCTAAAGGGCTGCTGGGCTCGGGCCAACTTCGGCTGGGTCCATATTCATGGTTTTCGACTAATGGTAGTGGCAAGAAACGGGGTTTTATTGATGCCTTTGAAGAGAGCTCAAGAAATGAAGACATGCCTCGAACGTTGCCTCTCTTGGTTTGGAATAACCAGCCTAACGAGGAAGATGATCCTCCTAGAGATCTTGACAACCACAGCAACAACTCTTTTGCCTCCAACATGTATATACTCACTCTCTCTATCACTATCTCTCAAGTGCAGAATATAGCTAGTAGTTTTTTTCTTTTTTCTTTTTATTTGGGTGCAGTATTGACAATTTGGTGTGTTTCTTTTTCTTGGTTGAGCAGAAGTGATGGAGAAAGTGATGGAATAGTTGGGTGGCCACCGATTAAGTTTAAGAGGAAGAAGCTTAGCCGTCAAAACAGTAGAGTAGTAGAGGTCAATCGGGCAGTGGACAATGGCCGTGGAGATTGCCAAGCTAGACCATCAAACTATATGTACGTTAAGGTCCAGATGGAGGGAGTAGGAATAGCAAGGAAAATTGATGTTAGCCTCTACGATTCTTTTCCAACACTTAAGCAGACCTTGATTGACATGTTTGGGATATGTAAGTAGCTTCATCACTTCAGTTAATAACTTTCCTTTTTCACAAGACTTGAAGTGACAAGTTCCTAATTTTTCTGTGTAATTTGGGACAGGCCAGGAAAATTCAAGCAACTACAGGCTGACATACCTGGATACAGAAGGTGACTGGCTACTAGCTGAAGATGTTCCTTGGAGGTAATGCTCATAAATTCAAGAAAGCAAGTTTTTCCTTTGGATTTGAAATGAAATACAAATTGATGGTGTACTGATTTGTTTTTTATGGGACATCTTAATTTTGCAGGAACTTTCTTGGGTCTGTCCAACGACTAAAATTGATGAGGCGCGGTTGATTGGCTATTTTTCTACCTTTGCGTTAATATATATATGGACCTAGAGATGGGGGGTCCTTTGATTCGAATTTTGAATCAATTGACTGTATGTAATCTGTAGCGACTATTAGTAAAGAAGAACCTAATTAACTGTATGACTTTTTGGATTCGCTTCATTTGATTAGAATAGAAGAAACATACAGTATGAGTTTCTTTTGTTCTTTTTTTAGCTTTTTTTTATTTTTGGTTAAAATCTTTTATGTTCCCTTACTTTTAATTTTGTATTAGTTTTTTTCTTGTCCAGTTTTTTTTTTTCCACGGTTTTCAATCATCTAATCGATAGCAAATTTAATCTACTGACATGTATGGATTATATATGCATTCTGTATTTTTTGAAATTTTTTTTATTGAGATTTTTTATTTTTTAAATTTATTAAAACTTTCTACTTCTACTCTTAAAGTTTTGTTCTTTCAGATATATTGGTTGACAAGTAATCAAAATTTCTTATTTTACAATGTTATATGTTAATCATTTATTCACGTTGTTATAATAAAAAATCTGTTATAAAAATTCTCAAAAAATAGGAAATCTCAATCAAGTAAAAAAAAAAAAAAAAAAGATTTTAATAAAAAAACTAAAGAATTCATAATCTAAATATAGAATAAACCCTAACATGTTTTGTATATGAACAATATATACATAAAACGCACGTGTTTTTTTTTAAAAAAATACACATAAAATTAACCTTTTTTTTGTTCATGACTTGTCTCCTTCACCCTCTAAGGAGAAAAATACTAATTAACTTTTTTTTTAAGAAAAAAAGGGGAAAAAAAAAGCAATTTATGATTGGAGATTTGACATTCGGATCTTTTTTTATTTTATTAAAAATTAATGATTAAAAAAAACTTAACAAATTAAATTAAAATTAGAGTTTCAAATATATTTTTTTAATAAGCAATACAATACATAAATTCAAAAAAAAAAATGAAATATGAAATATCAACAATCAAGATATTTCAAAAAATATCCATTCACAATTTATCATTTTTCATCTTCCCCATTGCTGTCCTAACCACCTTGCAACTCCAACAATATCTCTGCCACCAACCACAACGTCCACGCATCCGTTGTGAAACCAGCCAATGGATTTTTGCGCTTGGTGAATAATATGAGAAATACTTGTAAAAACATGTGTTATTAGATTTACAATCTCAAATTTTAATAATAATCAATTTAATGATGATTAATGAAGGAGTTGGTTGACCTTGTTTGACGACGCCTTTGTTCTTGTGGATCTCCCGAATAGTAATCCAGATTTTTCAATATAGAGGATGACCGACACAAAAAAGGACGAGGATTGCTAGAATGACCACTACTAGCCGAAATGTCACTCTTGTTGTTGGTGATGCCATTTGTTTGTTTGTTTGTTTGAGGGATGAGAGAGAAGAGAAGAGAAAGTTTTTATTATCGGACATACTTATCACTTCTGATGTCAGTGATTTGATTTGATGGTGCAAAAACGAAGACGAGAAATATATATATGCGTGTGTGTGTAAGAGAGAGATGTTAATACATGGTAGGAGTTATGGGTTGATCGACCGGTAATTATGTCTTTCCATCTAATAAAAACCCAATCAAAATGATTTTGAAAATATAAAGAGAACATATATATATATATATATATATATATATATATAAACTATTAATGAATAAATAAATATACCCATAAAAACTTTTAACCATCTTTTATTTATTTATTATTATTACCTTTATTCCTTTATACCGCACCTTTATTCCTTGACACTGCCGGTTAGAATTTCTTGACACAAAATGGTATGCTTTTGTGGTAAACAATATGGACACATGGAACAAATCCTGACAGAACTAAAGTTTTTTTACCAGTGATGCCCGACACAACTAAAGTCAGATTCGTAGTGCTTGTGTATGTATTGCTTTAGGATTAGGAGTACTATTTTTTTTTTTTTTTTTTTTTTTGGAATTGCCTATCATTGTGTTTGATCCCACAAATTTGAAAAGTTTATATAATATATTTTTTTCAAAATATAGAGAAAAAAATATTGGTTCAATGTTTATATTTAAACTAAAAACCACTTAATACATCCATGTATTACTATATTGCATTTAGAGTTTATAGCTATGTTCAACTTAGAGATGAATGTCATATTTGCTAAATATATGTCTTCATTCTCACCTTTTAGAGCTTTCAGCGCCATACAGACTTAATTAGCTAGATTTATTAGAAATTGAAAAGCAATCCTAAATATTGGAGATAATAAAAACCAAATGGAATGGAAAATCATAAATATATCCTTATACTTTGAAGCTACTCTACAATCCACCTCTTAATGCATTATCATTTTCCTCGACCATAATTAAACCTTGATCAAAAGCATCTTTACATCCTTTTATCATTGGTGTTGTACTGTTTTTTTTTTCTGTTTTTTTTTTCAAATTCGTCTTAATTAATTAGATCTTCATTTCATTAAAAATTATGATTGTCGGTCGATCAACTTGTGACCGACCTAAAATGTTGACACGTGTGTCAACCCAAATTTTGACTCCTTTTTACATTCTTTGCAAATTTTTCAATATATGTAATAAGAAAAAATATGTGTTGCTTGGTGTCTATGAATTTTTTTAGTTTTTATAGTTTTTAGATAGTTTATAAATTTTCATGATTTTAGGATATACTCGCTATCTTTATATCTAATTTAAGAAAGGTCCTAAAAATAATAATTAAAAAAAACATAAAAATGTCAAAAGAAAAACAATTAGAAGAAATTGGGGTTATTATAATTATTTGACAAAAAAAGGTATTAAAGGACCATCTCACCTAAAAGCTTAAGCCGATAGGTGAGATCTTAGAATATAATTTATAATAGTCTTTAACACACCACCTCAAGTGAAAGGTCCAACGTTTGGAACATGAAACTTACACGAGTCTACATTGCCTTGTGCTTAATACTTGAGAAATTAAGGATGGTAAAACTTGAATTCGGGACCTCAAGGTCAATCAAACTCGATACCATATTAAAGGACTATCTCATCCAACGAGCAAAGTCGTAAAATATAATTTATACTTGTTCTTTAATAAAAGGTATTGAAAAGAAAGAAACAAGTGATGAAATTGAAGATAATTAGAAAGAAAGATAACATTAAGAGAAATAAAAGGAAAAGGAAAAAAGCTGTATAAAATTAAAAATTAAAAGAGGTATAGAAGTTTTTAATCATTAAACCCCTAATATAGATTTTGTTAGTGAATTCTAAGAAACTTAGCCAATCATCTACTATAGTCATATGTTTGTGTTCCGTGGTATAAATTAACTTACAGAAAAGCCAATGAAAGATGAATGGAGTGATCATATTAAAAAAAAATTACAAGTAGAAAGACCACAAAAGTTTAAAAAAGACCACAGTAATCATATTAAGAAATCGAAAGAGTACATGAAAAAATATGCAATCAATCTCGAAAAATGGATGCCAAAATTAAATGGTAATTTTCAGCAAATCAATTCTTTTACCGCGCTATTTGGTATCATCTTGATTTTCGTTTTCTAAAAAAAATATATAGTTTAAGCAAAATTCTCTGTCCTAATAAATTTTCATGTTTAACACGCAACGAAATGTCTAAAGATTTAGTTTTAATTTAGACGCATTTATACTTAAACTCTTTTCTTATTGTAAAAATAAATAAATAATAAATAAATAAATAAATAATTCTAATCAATTTACATATCAATTAAAACTAAGTTTTTTTCTTTACAGTCATTAAAAATTCACCCAACATTTATTCTTATGCTGTCAAGGTAATAAACGTAAGTCAAAACTCAAGTAAGAAAAATCTACCTGTTATCCATCTAGATTAATTATTTATTTAATTTAATCTCACAAAAATAAATGGAATTTAAAAATGAGATTCTCAAATTTAAGTCATTAGATACTGATCAAGACACAAGCCTAGCATCCCGGATTCCTGTAGGGACTGAATAAAATATGGATAACCACAAAAATAGAAAGAAGATACCACGTCACTACCTCTCGTTTCTCCACTGCCACCAACCACCCAAAAAGTTAACTGCTTCCTCCTCTAATGGACGGCCACGTAATCACACCATCTCCGGCGACAAATTCATGTGTTCAGCCCGTGGGCAATCACTCCCCCTGTCTTCTTTTTTCTAATCACCATAAAAACTTTTCTATTTCTGGTCTCTTCTCTGTCTCTATGTTCAGCTGAAAATGGTGCCGCATTAAAATGGGAATTTTTCAGCAAATCTATTCATTTAATTAATGATCTCCAGTTACTCAACTTGGCCTAATTGAGGTAATTGCTGATTTTTTATTATCATTTCGTTTCCTCATTTGCTTCAACTTGGTTTCTTGATTATTATTATTTTTTTTAATGTCATTAAAGAAATGAGATTTGAATATTCTTTGTTCTAAGCATCCAACTGGCGGTCAACTATTTATTATTTCATTTTCCGTGTTATTATATATAGTAATAAATTGTAGAAACTATAAGTTCTTTTATTATTATTATTATTAATTTGAAACTGTGGAAATGTTTTACTTTGAAAAACATTGTTGCCAATTGGGTTTGATCCTCTTAATCTATGATTCTTTTCAAATGGTGTCTTGCTTTTTTTCTTTTTTGGGTGTAAATTGTTCCTTCTTGTTAATGTTAAAATATTTTTTTCTTATTGTGTCCTTTTTTTGTTAGAAGAGATTTGAGATGATGGATGGTTATCTTGAATTAGATGCATTATGGTTGTTATATATGTACTTAATCGTGCAAAAGGTTTGTAAGATAACAAGAAAAATGGCTTTGATTTTTTTGTAGACTGATTGCATTGTTATATACAGATTGTTTATTACAAAGATAGTCTTAAATTCTGACGTGAAATCCAAGCTGATTGACTAGGTGTTACCAGGTTTGCTTAGATTGTTTATTAGAAAGGTAGTCCTAAATTCTGACGTGAAATCCAAGTTTATTGGCTAGGTG